ATTCAATGATCAATTGATTTCATTTATACATAAGATACATGGACGACACATTTGTTGTTTGTGACGATAATATTGATTTAGATGATATTTTACACACCTTTAACCTATGCCACCTTTCTATAAATAAATATGATTTTAAAATTTAAACAAAATAAAACTATCTTTCTAATTACATCAGTAATCTATTAACACTTCTCTTTGTTTATTTTATTGAAGGTAATATGATATAATAATATATTGGATTGTAATAACTTGTACCAATTTAACTTGTATAGTTTTTAAAAGAATTAAATGATTACAGAATTATCATTTAATTTAATTGTTTTGTTTCAAGAGTTTACAATATGTAAATAAATAAAGAAGCTATGGTTTCTACTTTTTCTTTGTTTATTAATAATATAGTGAATAGTTTTAGATAAAAGTATGTAATTTATTGAATAGGAAATTTTTCATGTTTTGGGTTAGTGAAACAATGAAAGTTATTAATAGAATATTATTGATCCTTACAAATGCGTAAATTGATTCAGTTAATAGTTGTAGAAACATGTAATGAACTTCTACAAAACGGTAATTTCCAAAAAGAAATTTAGTTGTTGTTATGAAAAACAACGAGTAGATGAACCTGGAAGCACTAAACGACCGTTTCGTCCTAGTATGGAACTCCTCAGCAGTGCGCATCCAAGACCTCGCCCCCTGCGAGAATCGAACCCAGGACCTACAGGATGCCGGCTCAGTGGTTTGGTGGTTAGGTGCTCGCGTGCGAAACCAGTAAGTCCTGGGCTCGAATCTCGCAGGGGGCGAAGTCGTGGATGCGCACTGCTGAGGAGTCCCATATTAGGACGAAACAACCATCCAGTGCTTCCAGGTTTTCCATGGTGTTCTAGCTTCAATTGACTCATGATTTCAACCTGTGAAATTGAAGTGTGTTAAGATATCATGTGAGTGAATAGTTTTATTAATATATTATGTAACAAACTGATAGAGATAACAAAAACAATCGTTACATATGAATGGTTTTTTTCCGAAAATAGAAGTATCTACTTTGATTACCATTGTTTTATCACCAAATATACTTTCAGATTTTATTTATATAACATTTTTATCGATGGTTTTTTGTTTTATTTCGAAAAATATCAAACAAAACTGAAGAAAGCTAAATGAACATCAAAGATTTGAGTTGTTTTATTGTTTTTCAAAAGCATAAACTATTCACCCTATTAATATTCATCCGTTTTACATTGAGATGTATTGTTATTTAGTGTTGTACTTCGGACAATTGTTGGTTAAACTCGCTGAAGGAGGTGTTTGTTGAAGTTTGTCGTTTGGTGAAGTACTTTAATTTTGTAAATATTGAAGATTATTATGCTCATGAAAATTTGAGACAGATATGTGATTTCGTATTACATCTTGACTAATTCTATGGAGCTGATTTCTCTGAGATATATGGTATAGCTGAAAAGTAGGTTTTGATGGAGTTGACCTAAATAAAAGCGAATTTTTCAACGTTAAATCATTCTTGTCAGAGAATATGACACAACCAAAAATAATATATTTTAAAGAGAGCAAGAACAAAGATTGGTGCAGAATAATATGAATTCATTTTATTTCGTTAGGTTGTGAATGTTGAAAAATGTTTAAAGAATAATGGATACCCACTGAAATTTATTAAGAAATACAGCAAACGTAAAGATAAAATACCCAAAGAAATTACAGTAAATAAAAAGCCTATTTTTATTCAACTTCAATTCAAAGGTGACGATGTCACAGGATCAATCAATATGAGACAAAACTGCATTGACAAGAACGTATCCTGCAACTAAATTGATTGTCCTGTCCAAAACATATTCTTTGACACAATAAAAGGTCGACAGGTATCCCTTTCATGTTACCACCAACTGTGTATGCAAATTCACATGTATCTGCCAAAGCAGTTACATTGGTAGAACAGAAAGGAGAGCCTACGTCCGAATTAAAGAACATATTCCGAAACGTTCAACATCAAATGGATTGAAAGCATTCAACAGTGCCATCGCAAAACATCTCCTTGACACAGGACACCAAGTCGACACACTGAGGTCCTTCAAGGTGATTAATAAACAATCTAGCTCCAACCTTCTAAAATTTGCTGGAACATTAGCAATCAAACGTCTAAAACCAGACCTATGTATAAAAAAACAGACAATAATAAATCTTTCTTTACCTTGGTAACAATAACCCCTTTTTATTTACTTATTTCTACTTATTATTTATTGATTGCGTCATTATTCCAACTCTTTCTGAAGTTTAAATTACATCACATATAACTGACTGATTTCAGTTCATATTTTCTTTATTACCATTAACCTATTTTCATGAGTTCTAATCACTATTTCAATGTTTTGGAACTTTCCCTCTCAAACTTTATTTATTCGAGACAAAATTTTATGACCTCATTAACTCTATCGGAATCTTAACTACACCATGATACATTTACTCATCCTTAATCACCCTATTATGTATAAGCATGTCAATATCTGTAATAATGTTGAATTTTAAATATATCTGATGAGAACCTAACGAAATAAAATAAATTCATATTATTCTGCACCAATCTTTGTTCTTGCTCTCTTTATGATAATAAAGGGAACTATGTGTATGAAATAATATATTTGCATACATTTTCTCTACCACAGATTGTACATGACTAATTCTTTTTTGAATGTGTATTATTCCTTGATAAATATGGATGTTCATTTAACAACAATGTTTAACAAATCAATATAGGAGTATTCTTACGTTGATAAATTCCCAACAAGACATCAACCCACACTGTATTTTCTTTACATATGCATATGCTGGTTTTGAGGTTGTTAAGCCACACCACGTTTGTTTTAATTTGTGGGAACAATGTAATAGTATACGTTCAATTTTAAGCAGAATATGGCAGATTATTATGTTTTCTAAACAAGTATTATTACAAAACATTTTACTAGTAGCATATTCATTGAGTCAGCAATGTAAGTAAAACACAATGAACGGTGACATTTCTTAAAAATTTGTTGGTTGCGGTAAATATTGAACATCTTCTTAACTCAATAACATGTTCCCGTATTTAGAAAGATTTTATTATCATTATATAACATCCTTGATATATTTATGTACATATGCCTAAGGATAATGTATAATAACGTTATTTAGTATATAATAATGGAGTTTTCATTATGAAAGTATCTAAGTTAGATAACGCAATATATATTGCCTAGTCGTAGAATTCAAGTATAACCAATGTGTTTTCATAAGGTCGTTATTCATGTGAACTGAATAAGAGGAGAAAAAGTTATCATATGATCTCTTAATTAGTTATTGTGTAATGAAAAGATTCATCAAGCTGTTATACTTGACTTATTATAGTTGATATACCGTATTGTAAAATGTGTTGATTAATGGCCGTATAACTGATTTTGACAGAAATTAATAGACACCTTTATTTTATCGAGCATAACGAAAACCCATTATCAACAATACTATCATAGATTTCAATCAATTAGTAAATATTTCATACTTTGATAGCTTTCAATACAGTGTGAGATCAAGTGAAAGACTCTTCGGAACCAGACGGACTTGAGAAGTTATTTTATCACAGCTGGATGTCTGTTCGCAAAAGTCACACGTAAGATGATTTCTACCATAGAATGGACAGATTATGGCCAGAAATAGAATCTAGGACACAGGTCTCTTGTGTTTTGGACTCGTTAGATCGATGTTTCTGCATCCAAGTATTGACATTAACATCAGGACTCCAACCCAGTGCCTTAAATCTCACACCCAAATGGTTAATCCTCTGAACTACTGAGTTCAGAACTTCATTAGCGTGTTCAATGGGTATATTATATATGACATTACTAATAAGCATTTGAAGTATCTCATCGTTCTTAATCATTATTGAATTTTGATCAACGTTTTACGACACATGCGCAAAAAATGGAACGTTTGTCCTGAATCCTACGTCTAGTCACAGTTAATCTTTTTTGTAAACATTTTGACGTCTACTACATATTGAACTTGGGAAAACCTGTTATAACTTTAAACAGAGACTAATATTAGCTGTGGTATGACTGACAATTAATATAGGTCGATGCAAGGAAAAGAATAAACACAGTTTAGAGGTTTTTTTATTCATCCAGAACAAAAAACATCTTCCATATTAACAATTATTGACTACTTACTTATTGGTTAATAAAATTCACAATGACTTAATATACAATAAAAGGCTATCAAAAAGAGGTGTTATATTGAACGAACATGAAAGACTTAACCACTATATAACCTAACACTTGATAGTGTTACAACAGTTCATTGACACTTTGACTTTCATTATCTCGAGTTATCCACCATGTCGAATAAATTTAAAATGGTAAATTCAATCTTCATTTCTGAAAACTGATAAAAAGACTTTAGGAACCTTGTCGAAGAATTTTTATTATTTCCTATGTTACAAAACTAAATATGATTTCACTGGTCTGTCTAATCTGGATCACAATTAAAAACTTGAAAGCGCTGAACGGCCGTTTCGTCCTAGTATGAGACTTCTTAACAGTGAGCATCTACGATCTCGTACGCAGAACTCCAAACCAGGATCACGTTTTTAATGGTGGTCTAGCACAGTTCAACTTGTAAATTCAATTCTGAAAATACTACAATATTCACAAATTTCTATACTGATAATAATATAATTTGTTAGTAATTTTTGTTTATATTAATTAACATTGAAAAAAATCATTGAATCATAATCGAATTAGAAGTGATAACCTTGAGGCTATAGTTATTAATATACCACATTTCATTATATAAATAGAAAATTTTATTGACTAAAGAACGATTCACAATTTCTCTTCTAAGCAATGAATAATTATTTACAATTATTATACAAAAAGTATAATTAATTGTTTTATAAATATTGAAAAAATTTTTTCCTCATATTAGGTTGTCTTGACAACTGTTTAATGTTTTCTTTTTTTTTTAAATTAAACGGAAGTGAGAGTTTAAAATTGATTAAGTGGAAAAATGTTAAATGTTTTATTTTATTCTTGATAGATCTATTTTACCGCTTATAGATGATAAATTAATTTTTAATTCATTTTAGTTAATTTAAAAATTAAATGTTAAAGTATTCTAATAGCAACAATTTCACATGGTTACAAAAAAGAACCAAGAAGCAAATGATTGTTCTAAATGATTAAGTTAATTTAGATAAGAAATTGGTTTACTAATTTTTCGGGTAAAACCTTGTTAGCCATTATTAATCGCTTAAGGTGTTGAATTGTAACAATTAAATATAAACGTCTTCAATATCCATATTAAACAATCATCCTACTTTATTAGTGTTTTCTTCCTCAAAACTTTATATCAAAATGTGATCTTATGAAGATCTCCATATTTTTGAATGTTTTTCCTATTTCTTATCAAAGCCTAACGTTATATGAAAAATTGGACATTTAAAGTATGATTCTATGCTCATTAAACGAATAACTTTAGGGTAGATTTCGTTAAAATCTGATAGAAAGCTGTGAAGACATTAACTGATCAATAATACTATTAGATGACTGCAGTTCAGAACAGAAATCAATCACATTTGAAAATGTGGATGTTTGAATTTTCTTAATTCCCTGGTTAAGATATGTTGTATTCGTCGTGAAACTTGAAGTTTGTACATTCGATTTTGTATAGTTTTGAATTATTACAGAAATTTTTAGTAACTTGTTAGCCAATGTCACTCCTTGATCAGCTCTATCCAGAAAATGTGAATACTACAGATGATATCACACCAGGATCTTCTTGGGAGTTTTTCATTACACTGGATGAGAAAAGTGTGCAAATGCCTCATTTATTTTTCATATCATTCAGATAATCTTGAGGTGATAACTAAACAAAAACTGTTAAACTCATTGTGCTATCGAATAAAACTATGATTTGTTTTGTGGCATTACTGTGAAAATTCTATGCAGATTACGTTTCTCCATGGAAACTTTAGTTTATTCAAGGTGAGCTTAAATAGACAAGCAGGTATTCTAAAAAGAATCTAATTGTTTGAATAGTATGTAACATCTAGGAACAGTTCAAACAATCCATATCAAATATTCATTCATTTCACTATCTGTTTCTCTACATAAGTATACAAATAATTTGGAATATTTCAGTAGTATAGTTTTCCATGAAATGACAGAACTCGAACTATCTCGTATGCGAAAAGTCTGTATATTTTGTGTTTTTACTAGATCGTCTGTTCATAATATTGCTATATTATCATATCTGTAATTGGTGATTTGATTCACTAACTGCTGTGATGTCTTTTACCGCTCATAAATTTACTATAAACCAGTTACTCAGGTTTTCTTAAGAATATTTTAATTATTCAGAGACTGAAATTTGTTACTGATGATTCATAGTAATATCATATCAAATGTATGCAATCACACGTTTTTGAGTTTAAATGACTCAAAATAATTGGTTGGTCCTTCTTATAAGTATATTGAAAGTGAGTGGATTTTGAGTCAGATTGTCAAATGCTAGAGGATACCGTAACACAGTGGATTCATTGTCGGTGGAGATAGCATTACATAGTTTAGCTCTCTTTCTGCGAATATCGCAGTATTTTAATTTAATGTTATTTCTGAAGTTTGGATTAAGTTGCTACTTTTTATCAGCAATTAAAGGTAAACTTTTTAATTCAACCTCCGTTGCCACCATCATTCAAAACCTGGTGATTAAGATGTTTAAAAAAACATTTAAAGTGATTTGTGATCGTTCGAACAGATGATCAGCTATTCACATTTTTGGAGATTCTCAATTTATGTTGGTTAATAAAGAGGACATTTTGAAGTTCAAGTCACGCACAAATGGTAGCTATAGACATATGCAGTGCATGGAAGTGAGATACATCAGATGAAAAACACAACCGTAGTAAATGTTAGGGTTCAAAATGAAAATTTTAGAGCGAATTACAATTCTATATGCTGCATTCGTCAATTGAATCAACGCAAAAATGATCGACAGTGTTGAATGCGAGACAGTGAGCATTAAAGTATCGCGGATCACAGTCCATTATTGAGGTATTTTATGCTTGCAATCATTTTCTTAGATGCATGTAGCGATAATAAATGTATATTACAACACAAAATGGTTATACATAGATATATTCTTCAAGTATAAGTTTGTTAGTCTCAGTTGAGAGCTTGAACGTTTGGTTAGTAGTCTTAAAAAAGCAGTTAGATAACAATAAATTGACATACAAAGATCTATAACGGAATTCATAAGTGCCCTGATTCTGATGTATTTCATGATATTTGCTAAAATATCACAATGAGTAGTTGACATAAGCAGAATTTAGTCTTGTCATATGGTTGATCCTAGAATTTATGGGTTGTTTTATAGTTGCATAACCATAGAACAGTAGAAGTGATGAGTGAAAATGCTTACTATGTAGTTGTGATTGATTCTAGTTATGCTCAAAAATAAACGTATGACTAGCCAAATAGCACTTGAAACGAATACTACATCGATTCGGTCTAACTTTACTGCAACTTGTTTTCACTTAACTAGCAGTGTTATTTTAAAAAATTACTCATTTGTTGAGTCGATATGCTCTAGGTTGATAATACAAAAAAGTACTAAAATCCGTAAATACATTAACTTTTATAAGCATCTAAGTAAAAGAAACGTAGATTTACTTTAAAGCAACATTTTAAATGATTTAACTGTTCAGTTTTTATATGTTAGCTTGATAATGATTGTAAATAGATCAGTGATTATTCGTTGTATGTGATACAAGTTCATTTAAATTGAAATAATACGTCAGGATTTAACTCAGTAAATGGATTGAAACAATAATACACCAATCTAGCATCATAAATATATGTATAATTGATCTGTGACGCTGTGTTTGTATGAAATCCTTTGTACATAATTATGCTTTTTATTTATCATTCTAATAAATCCATATACGTTCCGTCTTTTATCCATAAGTGCTTGTTGATTAGTAGCTATTACAAGACATTTAGAAAAGATCTCGGAATTTCAATGTTTTTGAGCATATTCAATACAATTATTTATTCTATCCTCATTATACATTGCTAAGCGATTGAGCAAGTGACTTAGTGTGTAAGATTATGGATTTCAGATCATGGATCGTAGATTCGAAAGTTCCTTCGACTATTTTGGCTACATATGTTTGTATTTACCAAAAAAAATCTTTCTGAAAATTTATTTTCTTTAAACAAATAAAACAAATAAAGAAACTGATTTTGCATTTCAATTCATCATATATAAACAATATCGATTTAATCTTTTTATAGAAAAACAGTAAGGATAGTTATATTCTCAAATAAAAATTCAAACTGTTCAAATGAACGAATAAAACAGAATTCATTAGAAAAAAGAAACAAAATAATTAGACAATAATTATTTTCCAAGAAGAGAGAAGTTGATGACGAAGTATTCACATACCAAAGTATAAGAAGCCATTAAATGATTCAGTAAAAGAACAAATAAAAGGCGATTTCAATTCCATAGGAAAATTAAGTTTTTCAAAGAAAATTTCACTTCAAATAGTTAGATGACCATTAGAAAAAAAGAAAAAAATTCTTGAAATAAACTAGAAGCATCTACAGTTAGAACAAACTGAATAAATTGAAGTAAATTAGTACAGAGAAAGTCAATCAAGTTGATATAGAATCTGACTTGCAAAAGACTAACTTTGCCATCTTGTCTAATTTTGATTAAACAAACATTATCAAAGAAGTGAGTTAAAACGTCAACAATATCAAGTGTTTTATTATTTTTTTAAAGGTAAGGTCGGTCGAAATGAACAGTAGATAGGGAGAAATCTCACTGCATCTAATACACTAATCCTGATAAAAAACCCAGGAATTAAGTGTTGAAGAGTGAATAGAAATCTGGAAGAATATTTGCTTAATCGAAAATGACAGAGAACATCAAATCAGTTGACCAACCAGACAACTAACCAATCATAAGGCTACATTTAATGCCGGACGAATATACGAAATATATAGTAGTAGTATGGAGTATGCTGGTGGGTGACCTATGCTCCTCCACGAGGGGTAACAGGCATAAGTAAGTAGTAGTATATAGAACTGAGCAAAATCATTAACATATGAAATAAAAATCAAAAATTAATATTAAAATAGAAATTATTCAAGCAAACACCACACACTTATATTCAAAAATGAAATTATGTACTGGGAAAAAATGACAGAACCCGTGAGATCTTTGGAAAAAATAAAGACGATACACAGGTAACTGAAGAGATTTCAGATACACATGTAAGTGTATGTATAATATTCTGAGTGTTAGGAGACGCTTAAATGTATAACTTTTATTGAAGAGCGAATGAGAACGAGCGAAATACACGTAGAAAGAGAGATCAACCAACGAATACATTTGTGTTGGATATTTTTGGCTCTATGATAAAAGTGCATTGTGAGAACAATAGGAATCAACAGTGATAAAATCAATTAGACAAGGAAATGAATAAAATTTTCATTTACTTGTTAAACAGTGAAAACACGATACATACCACCATACAAACGTCTGGGTAGAAAACAGTTAGGCATACATAATATTATTTTAAAAAAATTGGTTTATGAAAATGAGGGGGAAAAATACTTCAAAGGAAATTAACCTGGAATTTGTATGTATAAATCCGTAAACTATATGCATAAATTAGAATAAATAAATAAATAACACACTGATTCATGAAGTTGGTCGAGGAGGGATGCGCGGCATACCAACATTACCTGGACGTCTAGATTTAACAAAAATGTAAGCGCAAAAAAATGCAGAAAACGTTTGAATAAAAGTAAAACACATTATGCAGAATACATCTATAACCAACTTATTTATTTAATTATTTGAACACATAAATACTGGTACAAGAGGGCATCAAATATATATGCCCCACACATAATATATATAATGTATCAGATTTTAATCCAACGAATAAATAGATTAGTGGCAGTATAACTCGTTCGAAACCAAATGAACCTATTATACGTATGCTTTTAATAATTTGGTGTATAGAAGCTTATCAGGATCAAATTAAGAAAAGACGAACATAGTTGAATATGAAAATAATGTGTTTGTAGATAGATAAAGAGAGAATTGTATAGATCAATTATTAACAATGATTAACATTGAAGGTGTGAACGATTAACTTAAGCTATTCGACATCTATAGCTTGAATAATCATATCAACAAAGTTCTATTCATATACAGGGTTAAACATAGGGTTATTCGACAAACGTCCAATACACTTTGAATGGAACACTATCAAGTGATAACACTGAAAATATTAGGTTAAATTTCAAATAAAAGATCATTTATGTAACAGGTACTTAACGAATAATTTTCTAATTCACAATCTGATTACTAAAACAGCTTTGTGCGTATACATATCTAGATATGATACATATGATACATATATTACTGCAGACAGTGTAAACTCTTAAACTGAAGGATTAAAATCAATGCTAGAAGTGTAGATCGTAAATTTTGGAGAAAAATTTACTTATTTCGTAGGCTCAGTTAATTCTAAGCAGAATTTAATGAACGGTTAGTGTAATGTCAATAAAAATTTAGTAAATGGAGATTCATTGTTACCTTTCTTATTTTTATTGTAAATAGCCTGTCGCCAAATAAGTTTATTTCAAATATCAAACTAAACTTTGATAGTAATACTAAGTGTGAACGCGTTACTGGTATAGAAAATGACCTAAAGACTAATGGTTTGGTCACCAAAATGATTTAATTTACTGACCACGTACAATGTTATAACAAATGTCCCACGTATGTTACGTTTTATAGCCTTTTAAGTGACGTCAACTTATAAAAATGTTGTTAACATGGAGTCACATGTAACATCAAATACTACTGTATTTACGTTATTGCAATTAAACTAGATTTGATCTTCGAAAACAATTGAAATAAAAAAACTGCTTTATATTAATTATTAAGCTAAAATAAACAAAAGTTATACAGAATCATTGTTAATCAAAATATTAACTGGAAGTTGAATATCAACACAACTGACTGAAACTCACTCTGGTATACTTGGATGTCCAAGATTACCAGATAACGATGTTAATTTCGGTGGTGGAATCGGTGGTGCTATTGCACTCGATTGGGATTGATTAAAAAGAGGATCAAATGAAACCCACGGTGCATTAGTAGTAGAATAAGTGGTATTTGGTGTTGAGCCATTCGATGGGTTAGTAGTCATAAATGTATTTCCACCAATACCACCGGAAGATATGGTACCTGGAAGGTTGCCAGTACTTGCACTTTGAGAAAGACCATTATTGAATTGTGGCATTCGTCTGCAAATTGATATAAAGAATATACATATAAACGATATATAATGTTAATAATAGTACGATAAAACAGTTTTGAATAGAACAGCTTGTTGTCTTTTTTATAACTAAAACACGATCATAATATTGATGCACAAGAAGGTGAAATTCTGTGGTAAAAGTAAGCGATACTGAGGACCTTGAGCCAATCAGTGGATAGTGTTTGGTTATACAATAACTAACAATGAAAAGCGATAAATAGTTTGATATGATTTACCAAACTATACATTTTAAATTATTTATGATAGTAGAGGTAAAAGGCTAAGGTTACTTATTAGGAAATGGATAAGTGTACTAAGTTAGGATTAGTTTTTGTTACGAAATGATATCAGCTAAAGTACAGTGATGTTTTGTCGCCCTTTATTGATTAGCTTATGAAAATTAGAGTTGAGGATTAAAGTTGGAGAATTCTAACACCTTTAACTATGCATTGAATCATATCAAGTAATAATACAAAACATCTGCATCAGTACCAAGTATTTCTTGTAATTTAGCCTAAACATTACGTCACATTCACTGTTTGGCAACATAACAGATATTTAAAAAAAAGTAATTATACGTGTTTAGGGAACCATATATTGCCAAATTTCACTTACTTTACAATGAAATACAGGCTCTTTCACTGTGTTTCCAATTTCATTCAAACATGCAAAAGGTGTTATTTTAATTCTGATTAGTTAAGCGAAGGTTGGTGGTACTTCTCTACCAATTCGGTCTTAAAGAACGATTTCAACTACGATAGGTTAAAAATTTATATCAATTGTATAGTGGTAATTTCACGGGTTGAAATCATGAGTCAATTGAAGCTAGAACATCATGGAAAACCTGGAAGCACTGGACGGTCAATTCGTTCTAGTATGGGACTCCTCAGAAGTGCGCATCCACGATCCCGCCCCCCGAGAGACTCGAACTCAAGATCTATCAGTCTCGGGCCAGGCGCTTAACCAACTAGACCACTGAGCCGGCATCCAACGGTGTTAATATCTAACTTCAACCAATCCACGAAGTTGCGCCACCGTACACCATTGTCTTCAGTGAGTTCCTATCTCACAACAGACCTGGTTGATCGTGGATGCGCATTGCCGAGGAGTCCCATACTAAGACGAAACGGCCATCCAGTGCTTCCAGGTTTTCCATGGTGGTCTAGCTTTAATTGACTCATGATTTCAACCAGTGAAATTTCTAAAAATCTCCACAAAACCCATTCTGATAGTGGTAATTATTGGTAGTTTAGAGGTTAATTCATTAAATTAAAAGCCTATATCAAGATATGTGATATAGAGTGTAGATAATGGAGAAAAATTTATATCTTCCCAAATATTTATTCATACAGCATATTAGTAGAGAAAACAATAAACTCAGAGACTGTATAAAATATAGAAATGGTATGAATGTCAACAGAATAGCCAGTAACATTTTTATATTGAATCTAAAAAAAATGATACTGAATAATTATAATTCAGTAAGGAGAGAAACTAACGAAAAAAGAAAATGCTTCTATTACAAATTATGTATAAATATGCATAAATTATAAAGAAGCATATTAGTTTTCATTCAATTAAATTACTTAAAAATAACTGAATAAAAAAGAAATGAAAGTTTCTAAGTTCAAATTATTCAATGAAATTGGTGTCAATTAATGTTTTGGCCTAAGGAAACAAAAGTATCTATTATAGAATACTAATAATAATTATTATGATTGTTCTGAAATGGAATTTATTAAAAATATTCACAATATGTAGAATGAAACTATTTTTTTCATTTATATTTCAGTTGATTTATGAGATAGATTTATATTTTTTTTATTTGAACACACAAATATTGGTACAAGAGGGCACCAAAGATATATGTGCCACGCCGAGCAATGAGAATTTGAAGAGAAGAAGGAAAAAAGGTAAGGACAGTAAAAGAAAAATAACAAACAGATTAGTGTAAGGTAGTGTAATAATAATAATAGGAGAAACAGAGACGTACAATCAGAATAGGTCTTTCAGTTAAAGAAGAAGCAACCACTTTTTATGAAGAAAGTAAAAGAATGTTATAGCAGGATCGCCACTGGCTCCTATTCTGAACCATATCTGATAACGTCTCTAGCCACTTTATGATATAGAAAGGGATGACCTTTGATTTTGTGTATACATTTTACAGATTTACAGTCTTAAGAGAAAAAAAGAAACAGCTTACAAGTATTTATCAGATTTTTCAGTAACAATATAATGTCATAGAATGGTTCTTATTTATAAAATGTCATAGTTAAAATTTAGAACTTCACAAAACAAAATAAATAGGTTGAATACAAAAATGTATCCTTAGAAAACATCAACTGGTGTATATGTGTATGAAATATCGTTTTGAATTAAATCGTTTCCTGAATTCAGTAAAATAAAATTTCAACATGGTTTTCTAGTTCATAGATGACATAATTCAATGATCAGGTTAAATAGGCCGAAACATTTCCATTCGCTTCATCTATACGTCTTAACTAACTAGATACTATAAGTCATGTGTGAAATAGCTAAGGTAATCATGTTATACATATACATGACTCTATTCCAGGACTGTAAAGACCACAACTGTAATAACTCACAAAGAACTCTGTGAGGAATTTATGTATTAAAATAATATTACTGATGACTAACTAGCTTTATATCGCTCATCTTCTAGCATTTCATTAGTTAGTCGTAAAATAACTGTTCTGTTGTTGGTTGATATATATTTTCTGTGATCAATCATATTGAACTAGTTATTATTGTATTTATCAATGCTGTCAATTGATTATTCTTTCTGAGTTTATCACTTTGAGAGTTTTAACACAACCATTTATTATTTATACATATTGATTTATCAATATTCTGATAAATCAAAACAGTCTGCTGACTTCAACCGACTTCATGTGAATTGTTCCGATAATTTTAGCACACTATGTTCAACAAAATGAAAAACATCTATTCAGGAAGCTTATTTCATGACAGAAAAGGGCGACTAATTCGTTTCATTTTGCTATAAATCTATATTGCATAAGATTTAAAAACAGATAACATTGTTAGCCAGTATGAAATAAATGTTTACAAATTAAACAATTAATCTTATTATTATAAATATATAGTCGAAATAATTACATGTCATTCAACAAAAAATATCATCGTTAAGTCTCGAATTTCAGAAGAGAATAGTAATCCTATTACTATGTAATATCACTACGATAGAAGCCATGTGTAATAATTCTTTCTACAGTACAATTATAAACCAATCATAAATTAGTTTAACAAGGAGGTATTTACTAAGTTAGACTAAATAGTAGCTTAATTAAAAAAATAAAAGCTTATTAGAGTTGATTTATTAGTATTTCTTGCAGATAAATCACAGAACATCATTTCGATGTTGAATGATTCACATCAATCAATTTCTGGATCACGAATTAATGCTACTATTATTAAGATAGATAGCAAAATATGACAGTGAATCTTTATTTTTTAATACATCAAATGTTTGGATTAGGTCTAGAAAATCTGTTTTCTAATAGTACAGTCGCATGTACTACTTATGCTGACCGATTTAAGCCGTATGTAGCAACAATCAGAAGTGGAATGCTCGTCAGAAGAGCATTCAATTAAAAAGAGAAAGCAACACTAAGTGCAATTGTAATCACAACAGAATTAAAAGAATCAAGAAGTATGTAGACAATATGTGAAGGAAGACGTGCAAATAATGATTTTCATATTTTGTAAAGGCACTGTAATTTCGCATGTAACAAAAGATTAGTTTACTGTATCTGAGTTCTCGTTCACTACAGTACGAACGATGCGAACTTAAATGTTAATAATAATAATAAAGCTTACATCTGGAAACTGTAATTTCTAAGTTGCTTTAAAATGTGTGTGTTTTCGTCAAGAAAATTGATCAGAAATGTGAAATAGTAAAAATTATGGTAATCTTAGTGATATGATCGTACAGTAAAACATTGATGATTGTATACACTTTTAAAAAAAGCCAAATTCATTAAACCCAGAGTTATCAATAGTACATAAATTGACAGTCAACACTCAGGCGTCATAAACGTGGCATGAGTAGGTTTTAAAATATTTTTCAGTATGAAAAATACTACATATTTACCACAGAAGATACATGTAACGAACCAAGTAACTTTCTAGCAAGTTTGGAGATACTAGATTAGGTACATTTTATATCTCAACAATAAAATATATTGCATAAGTACATAAATTCATTGATATAAACAGGGAAACGTTAATGGACAATGATGAATTATCGTTTTTTTTTCATTTACGGTGAGAAAAGAACAGTAAAAATTCTTCCCTATAATCAAAAACAAAAACAGACTTTAAGGCGTATTCTTGTCATTATGCATTAATTATTACTACAGGAAACATAGAAAAAGCTCAGTAATAAAGCTTGGGAAATATGGTGAATTTGTTGTTGTAGTATGCCCGTAACGAAAAACCAGAACAGAAAATATCACAATGAAGATATGAATAAAGAGTGAAAATTAATAATAATAATAACTATTACAAATAATAATATTAAGAATAAGTAGATATTTTAACCAATAATTCCGGAAAGATTAACTTGTTACTAAGAAAGAAGGAAAGAACAGAGGGAAATTATGTATTATGATCGATGTCCATATTTTACAAACTAAACATATTCTTTAGCTGAACTCATATGTTTAGTCACCACCAGTGGCCAAACCAAACTCATCAGAAATAAGATCACGTAAATCGCTATGGTTTTCAATACACCTACGTGAATTTGTTCTTGTATTTGGTCAGATGATGAAATCAGAATTCAAGTAACTAATGAGTCATTTTTATGACCTTTTATAAGTGTACGTTTTTATAGGTATGATTTATTTGTGAGCATGCTTGTTTATTGTTTACCTTATTTATTTTCTATTTCAATAAAATACAAGCTTATTTAAAGACTCATATTGTGGGTTCCAGGTGTAACAACCTTCATGATTCACCTATTCAATTTACACTTATGATCTTATCTCCTCAGGTTTGGATGCTTGAAGTGACATCTTCCAGTCATATTTTGTACATGGCCTTTTACTACTATCATTGTATAAATGGATTTAGCTACAGGAGGTATATGCTTAATAGAAACGTGATCGCAAGATAAATCCATTGGCTAGTTTTAACGTTTATCCAAAAAGACGATCGACATGCTTTATTGTCATTTTGGGCATTTTTACTTGTCACTATAAACATACGTATTGTATACTGTTTTTGGAATATGAGGACGCGTCAGGTTATGAATCATTTTTTTTAGCATGTATAGAATCTATTTTCTACTAATACATCGACTAAACTAAATAAACCGTATTCAATAGTCACTGCTACATTCACAGGTTTCTGTACTCGGGTAAGATAGCTAGATTTTATTTATTTGGAAGCTACTGATAGTGCTCGGATATACAAAGTGAAAAAGATGAAGGTAAGAAGGCTCAAATCTGCAACTTTTGTGGTGGTTTGGACAAACGCGGCTTTATTCAGCTAGATAAACTTCAAATGTAATGATGGTCTTTTTAGTCTTTTATATTTATTTATATTACCAAAGCCTATACGTCACATACGCAGGTTAAATTTACAGTTATTTTCATAAACAAAGTGATATGTTCAACTGTCTGTTGTTCCCTGAAAGTGATACTCCACTCGACTCTTCCAAAGTGGAAAAAAAGTTGAGAACGAACAATATGAATTCCAATAACCCGAAAAACAAAGATAAATCAGAACAAACATTGGAACCTAGAATTTACAAAGGAATCTTATGATATCTTCGCGACTAATCTCTTAGTGTTGAGTAGTCAAAAAATGAACCAATCAGCAAATTCTGACTTTAGATTCTCTGGAGCATGGAATAGTCGGAAACCTATCCTACTAACAGAGGTTGAGTTTTAAAGGATTTTTTAATTTCACTAATTAGTGAAGTAAGAAAACAAAAGCCGATAAACAATGGGGGAGAACTGAATAGTGTCTGATGTTATTCTGATATAGACATTTGAACAGTTACATATTCTTCTACCGTATAATTTAATATGTAGGCGAGAAAAAGCTGCTAAAATGAACCTAAGTTATCTTCCTTTTGCTAACAGAAGTGAGTATTTTTGTGAAAGAAATATCGAAAAAAGTTTCTTCGATTCAGATTTCCACGCACTGACGTACTATTATCATTTGACTGGCTTTTTCCACTTTTAGCTTCTTAATTTTACTATAGGCTCCATGGTTATACTTTTGTTACATAAGAAAAATCGTTCAACCCTAAATTTGTCTTCTTGAATCTCAAGTTTTCTATAAAGTCCAATCTACTTTTGCCTTCCGTTGCACTTGAGACAATTGTTGAAACTTAGAGTGCCAGTTATCCGGTCAACTGAGTTTGCGTTAGATCCCTTTGTATAAGAAACATCTCGATCGTTAATACTTACTTACTTACGCCTGTTACTCCCAATGGAGCATAGGCCGCCGATCAGCATTCTCCGCCTGGAGTCCCTCCGGGGGGCTACTGCCGGTCCCAAGCCCGGATAAAGGAGGAGGGTTGGACATGGAGTTAGCGTCCCCATCCCGTAGGAAACTAACTCGCTGAAAAAAACGCTAACCAGAAAAAATTATTCAAACCTTTTAAACTCTGCCCGTCGATCGTTAATACTTAGAAATTATCACAGACCAATCATAAAGCACCGAAAACAAACTGAAATTTCTAATAATGTAGTGTTCGTAGAAAAAAGACAGTTTTGAAAGTTGTCTAGTACACTCAATTATTTCAAAGTTATTGAGATATACAATATAAGACAAAGCATTTCTAATAAACATATCATATAATTATGTTAAGATAAATGAACAAGAAATTAGTTGATTTCTTAAGAAAAAAGCATTGGATAAGAAAAATACAAGTGAAATACATTAGCATTCTAAAATAAAACAAATAGAAAATGCACAGCCGCTTTGTTTATTTTATTTATCATATATAAGAAAAGATACTACTAAGTAGATACAAACCAAAAGGTTAAGGCAAAGAAAGAAACGGAAAAGGCGACGCAAAGTTACTTATTTTGTAAGTGGTTTCAGGGCTTTGAGAAAGTCGTGATATCCCAAATCCATGTGAACTATGATTAATGAAGTTTGAAGATAGGGGCATAAGTCTATAATGAATATAAGAGAACACATATATTGTAAAATTTGTATAACTTTTGACCTCCCTTACTGACTGAGTTGTACTTTGTGCTAAAGCACTTTTGTTGTGCTCCAATCTAATTCTCAATCGAATGGCCGAATAAGTGAGTAGTGAATCACGTGATTAAGTATCTAGTGCTTGTACGTTGCTATAGCACACTGACTGTTATTCGTAAATCAGTATTTCGAAATATTTCTTTCTTACAATGGATTCCATACGTCATTCTGTGATGCCGATGTGCTAAATGAATTCATAAGGAATCAAGAACATGTCAGTGTACGCAACACAAATAACTTGATAAACACAATTAGGTTGAATGTAATTTCGCGATAAATCAATGTATGATCTAAGTATTACGCAGTCAGATAAGGAACTTCTAAGACTGTAATTATGCTATTGACTATTTCCTGCTATTATTTGTGTTCTATATCATTACCAGTATTTATAGATTTATATTGTTTTGCGTATTGCTTTTCTCTCTCAGTGAACTAAATGAAACTAACAAAAATACTGCTTATTTTCAGGCTAGTTACCGCATATAGGGAGAGAGAGATAGTAACGCCCATTCATCTTTGCTTACTCATTATGCTGTATATATGAAATACAGTGCAACAACAAGCAAATGAGTAACTAGAATATGAAAAACTTTAAAGTGAACATACTCAGCAAGTTAAAGAAAGAAGCGATGGGAAACAGTAGATATTTTGTACATTCAAAATAAATACGGAAATGGTTATATATTATGTAGAGAAAATCGATTACAATTATTGTTATAATTGCCAGTTGAAATAAGATTTTAAGAGGTTATTAACTTTATTCACTAATTAAAAATAGTCAACACAAATGAATTTCAGTTTATAAAAAACTTGCACATTTATGGCTAGTGTGTGAATACACATGAGAAGATAATCAGTATCATACGGAATTCATACGACGAAATACAATGCAAAGTCGTAAATGGAAGACGGCTAACAGACCCATTCCAAGTTAGGACCGGAGTCAGACAATGCTGCTTATTCTACCCCTCTCTTTTTCTTCTGGATTATGAAGACCTCGACATTTGAGGGAAAGCACGGAATACGATGGACAGTTCAGAATCAACTGGACGACTTTAACTTCTCAAATGAGATGGACCTTCTATCCATTACACACCAATAAATACAAATGAAGAGAACCAGTGTAGCAGCCTCTAAAAAAGCAAAATCCTCAAACGCAACACGTAGAATATCAACTCAATCACACTTGACGGCGAAATGTTGGAATAGGTGAAAACCCTCACGTACCTAATCAGTAGCATCAAAGAATAAAGGTCTCATGCAGATATTAAGGCGGCGATTAGCAAAGTAAGGCCACATTCCTACAGTTGAACACATGGAACTCAAAACAACTGTCAACTAATGTCAAAGTCTCAATCTTCAAAACGAACCTCATGACGGTTCTAATTTACACTGATGAAACTTGGAAAAGTACTACTACCATCATCAAAAGGGTACATTTATTTATAAACAATCGTCTACACAAGATACTCAGTCTCCATTGGTCGGATACCATTAACAACAACTTACTGTGGGAAAGAACAAAGTAGCTTCGATCTGAAGAGTTAATTAGGAAAAGACGTTGGAAGTGGATAGGACACATATTGAGGAAATCAATAAACTACATCACGAGGCAATTACTAACATGGAATTTTGAAGGGAAACGGAAAAGAGGAAGGCTATGGAACACACTGCATCTGGAATTGGGATAAGGCATCAAAAAGACGAGTAACAACTGGAAGAAACTGTGTAGGACAGCCGAAGACAGAGTTGGATGGAGAATGCTGGCGGGTAGCCTATGCTCTTCCAAGAGGGTAACAGACATAAGTAGGTAAGTGTGTATATGCACACACTTTTGAATAAGTAGACACACAACTTACTTAACGATATTTAAGCGAAGGACACTAAAATAGATAGAGTATTAAACTTGTTCTTGAACTGACATATGTTCCTATCCTATCGAAATATCATAAACAAAATAATTTCACAAGTGGAAATAAACAATTGTTATACAATATGACTGTAGTTTGTACGGATAATTTCATTGATTTAAACATCAGATCAAAACAAATAACGACTTTACATACATTACAATTCATATATGAAATCAAATTTGTGAACGTAGAAAACATATCAAGAGATTGCTTCTGTTTTTATAAATGAGCGCGAAAAACTTACTGAGGAAGAAGTGGAGCTGGAAGTTGACCAGGGGCTGTAGTTACAATTGTTGGGGGATTCAAAGTATGTCGTATAGGTAAATTTGGTGCTGGTCTTGAAGGTATGGGACGATTAGAATTTGATGTGATATTATTAGGACTTAAAGGTCTTTGTGTTGTACTAGTACTGTGATGACCGGAATGAGATGTATTACTAGAAGGAAGAGGTCGACGAGTATTATTTGATCCAGTAGATAACTCCTGAAATTTAGGAAAAAATTACAATCGGTTTTTCAGAAAATTGCAATAAATGATGGGTTTATTAATAAACTGTTAGTAACGTGTGGGTATTTACAACCATACCATACTTCATGCAATTATTCTTTAAAAAAGGCATCCCCTAAGTGTGTATTTTCAATGCCAAAAGGTGATATTGAAAGTATAAAATGTGGTAACTATCGGTTAAATATAGCCAACACACGAATTCCCACAAAATATTGACTACTAATACTATCTTACATTATCCAGTGTACATAAGGAATTATTCCGATAACGATAAATTAATTACTGGTGCAAAATATCTAGATAGACCAGATAGAAAAGTGTTATCATTAACTCACTTTATGATACTTAATTACTTGATGAAAGATTATTTAGAAATACTTAGTTATTTTCGTAACCTTTTTTCAAGCCTTATACGTCAAATGTTTTAGGTATTTCAACTTTGAAAATTAGATTTTTTTTCTATATTTGTGAATTCAACCAAATTTCATGAATGATTTAATTTGTCACTCACTATGTACGTAGCAAATCTAACATACACCAATCTTACAAGTCTTAAAACTATTTGAAGTAAATTACATGGCTGATAACATAAGAAGAAAACACAACATTTGGTAAACTATAAAATATTTATAATTAAAATTTCAGTCTATCAAGTTGTTATATTTTAATATTTTAGGTTCATGCTACAATAATCGCCGAACTACGGACGATTGTCGCGTAAAGCAATGACACCAACTAGTACACAACACTTTGGCGATAACATAGAAGGAACATGAGTTATAAGCGGAGCGAACAGGGCAAACCACAATAGTAGGACTCCGTATATATCGTAACTAAAGCATGACCTTCCGTCATACAGAAATTTAGCCGACTATAAGAAATGGAAACTATTCAGAAAAAGGCAAATATAAAACGGAAAATTGAATTAGAAAAAAGCCACTTAAGGTTATTTTTTCTGGTAAAATTTCAGCCTAGTTAGCAAAATTTCGGTTATCTTTAAATTGTCTTAGCATAACTATTACTCAATTAAGGTAGGATGAAGCACTGAAACAATTTTGAGCAATAACAAAGCAATTTACTAGGTATGTTACTATACAATTAAATCTAAAATCTGGAAAAAATATTTCTGCGCAACTAAGTGGTTGGTTAAGTTAGGAATAGGAGAGAAAAATAATTGGCTGAAAAATATTCAACCATCGAGTACAAGGATTGTGTGTGCTCATGTTGGAGTTAAAGTAGTATCAGAAATAATGTGCAAATATATTGAATTTCGACAGCTGGATTCAAAAGACGATTATTAAAACGACTCCTAAGATGTATTTTTTATCAATGATTTTAAATTATATATTAAGATGATAATATTTGTCAGACAAAGCTTACCGTCTCAATCCAGTCATCACTGACAGGTGGAGGTAATGGGACACTATGCGTATTAGCTATGACATCTGATATAACTGATAATGCCTCACGTATTGAATCATACATACGTATAATTTCTTCACGATGCTTTTTCTCAGCTGATGACTCTTCCATAAGATTGTTCTACAACGATATTTTTAAATCAAATAGAAATTAAAACAAAAAGAAAATGGGTCGATTAAATATGCGTGAAATGTGTTCACATGAAAATCTTATACACTTTCCAAACAATAAATGTTTCAATAACTTAGAGATTTTTGTCAAATTCATTCGTGAGAAACATTTTACAACTAACAATAATTAGTTTGACCAATGTTGGGGATGAAAAAAAAGCACAAGAACGTTTGACTTCAAACTAGCACAACGCAGTTATAATTCATTAGCCATTACTGATATCGACACATCCGTTTGTGAGTAGACACATCACTTATGATTTGCACCAGTGTGGTCAAAGAAAAACCAATTCTGACCTTTATTAACTAACAAAACGACGCTAAGAAAGTAAACTTTGTTAAAAAAAACACTGAATAACATACTATCGTATGATACAATAAGTCAAATCCTATAAATATAGAGAGGTCAATCGTAATTACCCCAATTATTCGATAAATAATTGAACATTCAAAGCTTTCTGAATTTCATTTTAATTGTATTATTGTTATAACTTGTGTCCTGTGCCCTATTAATATATAACGTAATGATACCGCCTATAAGAAAACAGTGATTTATCGACTGGACCAATGACGGACCCGTACGAGCAGTCTACAGTCATTGCCGGTCTTTCTTCCTGCCTAGCCCTGCCTGTTGAGTTCAGAACACAAATATCAGTCTTCACATCACACCATAAAATAGAAAGTAACATTTCTACAAGTTCTAGCCAAAAGTGGCTGTGATTGTAGGATACTGTAACTAATGGCAGATCGTGTAATAATAGTCTATAGGTCAAAATTTTCATTGATTCTCATTGGGAAAACATAACTCAAGATTCCATGAGCCCCAGTATCGTACAAATGAATACGTCATATCATGTGGCGTTTACTAGTCTATATGTATGAACAAAGATAACTCAAGATATGTAGTTGATGTTGGTCGAGGATATTCAGAAATAGCTACACGCTTAGCTGGCATCATAATTTCAGATATGTTAAATGGGTCAATAATCTTTCTCATCTAATCGTATATACATGAAATAGCAAAAATCTTAAAACAACTCATACCTCTTTACAAAAAAACTGTCAACGGGACATTTTCAGGTCCAATATAAATCATAGTCACTAGGAATTTTAAGCACCCTTTTATGTTTTCCAACACAATATGTTGCGACTTTAAACCTGCCTTGACAGTTCTTAATCAAGTTCTGATGGCAGATTTGGTGTAAAAAGTATATACTTTCTGGTATTATGATATGCTTATTGTTATTCTGTACACTTTCAATAATTAATGGTGACTTAGTTGACCTTTTTATTTGTAATGATCTTTTGTTAGTCTTGGTACTAAACCTTTTGACTTACTAAATGTATGATCGGACCGTTTGAAATGCACTACGCAAATGTGTTACATTGCTTATTACAAATATTAAATTTACAGTGTGGAATAATTGTTTCAAAATTTTAGACTACGACAAACTTCTCGAATATAACAATCACTGTTCAGTTGTCGGTAATCAGGGAAACATTGGTCTACCTAATGATAATTTGATTACTTGCTATCGAAATTTCAAAAAAGAAAACTGTTTCTCTTGATAAGCAAAAAACCAAAACTAAGTATCAGTATGGGATTGTGAAGATTGTTGAATTTGAATTGAGATCATATAGGGACTCAGTGAATAGAAAAAACAATTATCTATTTATATATATACTGCCATAAAAGATGTTATTCCGTGATCTTGTATCAGCCACACTTTTTGAATTGTCGTCCAATAAAAAGACGAATAACAGCAATATAAGTCAGAATTGAAAAGTAAGAATACATCAAAGACAACTGTGGACAGTCTCTTCATTATTGATTTCTTCAATTTTGATCAATTATTGTTTTCTACATTCGAACATCATTTCATAATAGAAATTGCCGTTTAAAGTATTGTGACAGCAATTGCTTAAAGCATTTTATTTTTTCAATTGACAACTGATATTTGGTAGTGTAGTCAGTCAGCTACAACGTAGGACCAGGCACATATGTGCATCGGTCCAGGTTGCCATACCGCATCAGCACAACAAGATGAACACCGGATTCATAACAGTGGTTAGGTAAAAGGTGGTAATATATAAGAGAAAGATTGCATATAGAGATATAGTACAAGAAGAAAGAGTTGGTTAGTAGAAAGAAAGATATGAAGCGCTTTTAATCTCTTAGTTTAAGGGAAGAAACCGAGTGTATACACCTACGCCATTGTGATCGATTCTGAGCCATGTCACCAAGAGTCTCCAACCATTGGTTACGATAGTCACGCGGACCCCAACCAAGTAGTCTGCATCTACCAACATGGCTCAGACTAGAAGTTAGTGACTTCAAGCATTGATGCCACGTTTTGGTTTGGACGCCCCTAACTTTCTTCCAACCATCCCCAACACCGGTTAGCATTGCACGTCGTGGTAATCGGTTTTCAGGCATACGTAACACGTGGCCCAACTATCTCAGTCGATGAAGATTCATAACCTCATCAACTGATTTACCATCCTTTCCTAATACCCTGCGTCTAACCTCACTATTACTTACCCGATTATCCCAGCAGACGCCAGCAATATTTCTAAGGCATCTGTGGTCAAATACTAGCAGCTTACGGGTGTCTTCTACTCTTAATGGCCATGTTTCGCTACCGTAAAGTAAAACAGAACGGACTGCCGCGCAGTATACTCGTCCTTTTATTGATAGACGGATATCTCGCCTTCGCCACAGGTGATGTAAGTTGGCAAAAGCCAAACGAGCTTTTCGAATCCGTGCTGAGATTTCGTCCGATACCAACCCATTAGGGCTGATCAGACTTCCAAGATAAGTGAAGTTGTCAACGCGTTCGACTACTTCACTCTCTATCCTTAGTTCAGGTGTTAACGCAGACCAGTCCTGAAGCAACAACTTGCATTTAGAGGGAGAGAAGCGCATTCCAAACATTCTGTCATTGTAGCTTAGTGCTACCAGAAGACTTTGCATTTTGTCAGCGTCTTCACCAAACAGGACTATGTCATCTGCGTATTCTAAGTCGATAGGTGGACCTCCTGGAAAGAGATCAATACCCGAGAACTCAGTCGACGAGAATGTTATTTCCATCAGTAGGTCTATGATGAAGTTAAACAAAAATGGGGAAAGTGGACATCCTTGACGGACACCACTTGAGGTTGCAAAACTAGATGACAGTTCGCCATAAGCTCTGACTCGACTAGTAGTGTTCGAGTAAAGAGCCTTCACAAGGTTTATGTACTTCTGAGGTACGCCTTTCAATGACAGACACTGCCACAGAACCCCGCGGTCTACCGAGTCAAATGCTGCTTTTAAGTCAAGAAAGACCACCATCGTCGGACGCCGATAAGTGTGCCTGTGTTCTAGAACCTGACGAATGGTGAATATGTGGTCGATGCAGCCACGACCAGGTCTGAAACCAGCTTGGTTTTCTCGTGTTTGCAGTTCACGAGTTTTAGTTAGGCGTTTGATTATTATTGAGGCTAGTATTTTAGATATTATATTAGTTAAACTAATCCCTCTGTGGTTGTCACAGGATGATTTTGACCCTTTCTTATATATTGGGACGATAAGTGATTGTGACCAGTCAGATGGAATAACGTCTAACTCCCAGATCTTAGCTAAAATATTAGTCAACCTAACCGCTAAAATTGGACCACCATCCTTAAAGACTTCTGGAGCCAGTCCATCTGGACCAGCAGCCCTTCCTCGTTTCAGATTATCTATAGCCTTTTGAACTTCAGCAAGAGTTGCGGGACCTACTTCAATGTTCCATTCACGCTGTCTGGGAATGGAGGGTAGTTGTAGAGTAGCTGAAGGCCAGCTGAACTGTTCCCTAAAGTGTTCCGCCCATCGTTCTAAACGTCTGGACTGGGAATAGATGAGAGTATCGTCTTTTTCCGATATAATCTCACTTACACTTGACTTATTAATTCCAGTTTCTTTTATTGGTCTGTAAAGTTGTCTTGTGTTCCCTATAGTCGCCGCCTTTCCCATCTCTTTTGCTTTCGTTGCCCACCACTGCTCACGGTCGTTTCTTAAACTTTTTCTTAACCGAGATCTGATTTGTTGTCGCTCTTCATCATGTTCGGAACCTGATGGGACGAATTTGCGAGAATCCATCAGTGTGATAGACTTTGAAGAAATCCACTGGTTCTTTGAAACTCTGTGGTTTAAGTCGCTAATAGATGTCACTGCTGCTTCCACAGCTGCTTGTATGTCTTTCCAAGCAACATCTGGGTCAGCCTCGTCTTCAGAACTACCTAAGCGTGAACTCAGTTGTTCTTGGGTCTTTTCAATGTGGCTTTTTTGCGTCCGGTGAGGCGCAAGCAGATGCGTGCCCGTATTAGGGCATGGTCGGAGTCCAAGCAGGTATTCCAGAATGAGCGACAATCTTCTACCGACCCTCTCCAACGATGACTGATGGCAATATGGTCTATTTGAGTCCATCGTTGGTTTGGTGTAGGGGGTCGCCATGTTAGACGATGTCTCTCCTTATGCTTAAAATTTGTGTTTGCTAAAAATAAGCGATTGTCTGAGCACAGTTGCAGCAGACGATCACCATTATCTGTTCGCTGTGTCGGAATGCTAAAATATCCACCTAAATGCCTTTCTGTGTGGTTTAAGCTACCTATCTGAGCATTAAAGTCACCCCCTACGAGTACTATGTCTGAACGTTTAGCTTTCTGAAGAAGTTCAGATAGCTTTCTGTAAAATTCATCTTTCAATTCATCTGAGCTGCAGTCAGTGGGAGCGTAGGCAGAAACGACAAAAAGGCAACGACGTGTGTCCCTATCCTTCCGAGTTCTTACGGAGCCGTTTAGCCGAACAGCACATAGACGACTGTTGACGGGGATCCATTCTAGCAGTGCTTGTTCCGCCCTCATGCTTAGTGCTATGCCTACACCTGCCAGTCCACGAGAACTGGCCATCGGGTCACCAGATACACGTAGGGTGTATCTCGTTGGCTCTCCGTTTTGCCGAGGTGAGGTCAAGTGAATGACCACACTGGAATCCTGTATGCGTGTTTCGGAGACACAGCATACATCGATGGAAAGAGACTCTAGGGTTTTAGCCAAGGAAGCCTGCTGACCGATTTGACATAGAGTGCGTACGTTGAAAGCTCCAATGTGTAGTTTGGAGCGAGGTTTCAGTAGACCTGGGACAGAGTTTTGAGCACTAGAATCGTTGGCTATGGTGACACTTGAGGAAGAAGCCGAAGGAGGAAGTTTAGGGTTGAAAGTCGATGTAGGAGGAATAATAGGAATTGAAGAGGAAGGTTGATTATGAATACAATGGTCTTGGGTGCTGTTAGAGGTATGAGGGCGGTTATCACTTCCCGGTTGCCCACACCGTGGAAGGGTTCTTCTGGAGGTACCTGAAAAGAAAATTGGATTAGAGGCGGTCTCAGCGACCTGAGAACGTGACCGCAGTGCCCAAGAGACAACTGCTTGAGGCCGGTCGCGCACGGCCTTTCCGTGGAAGGTTTTTGACATGTTAGCTCCGTTCTTCAAAGGGCCTTACCGCCGGAGACGGAAATCCGTGAGGTAAGGTGAGGTGTGCATTTTTAGGGTCGACCTTTTCTAACCCCACCCCTCCTTGTGGGTAGGCAGCATCGCTGTCATGCTGGTTGTCTGAAGGAAACACCTTACTGCTGTCACACCTCTGTACAGTCAGCAGTACGACTTCGCCTTCGGACCTTAGGTTTGTTGCTTTTAGTCTTACCGCTCTTCAACCGACCTGTCTGACATGGTAGGACCTTGAGGAACGGTTGTTCCAGCCAGTATAGCTCGGTTGCTTCATCACGATAGGCAAGCCCGACCACCACGTCAAGATAGCAACAACGGTCGGGTATCAACAACGGTCGGGTTTGGTAGTGTAAGCAAAATATGGTTGGTCATTGAGCGGCATTTAACCTACTGACCATAAAGTATGTGAATTTCTTTTCTCTCATTGATTTCTACACCAGATTCACTGAGTTTGACTGCTTATAACTGTGTTGAATAGATTATAATTTAGTGTCAATCTGGTTCTCTGTTCTGGATCGTGAATCCTGGATCTGATATAACGTGCCTAGTCTCAACATCGTAGTATACCCGAGAGAGATAAATAGTTTAAACCATCCGTTATATCACAAATGAATCAAACAAAATTCAGTCGAATTGGTAATAAACAGAAGCACATAGAGTCCAAATAGTATTAGAATAAAAACTACCACTAACTAGTTAAAACAAAATTGATTAAAAGAGACAAAAAAGTGAATAGACAAACTTACAGGGTCTTGCGAATACAATTTGGGCAAGAGATCGCCTTTTAGAAAAATTTTGATCTATATTTGAGAATAATTTAGAAAGTAAAAATATTGACTTTGTCATCAAGATTGTAGTGAATTGGCAAAAAAAAAACTATATTTAGTAATATATTATTCATAGTAGTATAGACAATTATGCGTGAAAAAATTTAGGCCCTAGTGGATTGATCATAATTACTGTATAATTGAATAAACTTTGCATTCGAAATGAGTGATTAGCAGAAGATTTAAATGGTTGATAAATAACACTCTGTCATTGGAAGACAGAAAATAATAAGTAGAGGTCCGTGCATCATACATCTGTTCCGCATTAACTCGAAAGAGAAAACATGAATGATATATATATATATATATATATATATATATATATATATATATATATATATATATATATATATATATATATATATATATATATATCACTTTCAGGAAGGTAGAAAAGGACTGTTTTAAATTACTAAGTTAATAAGAAGGTTAAACAATAAAAAAGCAAGCTGAAAATCAGTAGTATAGTTTTAATCAAACTATTTATTAACTGCACGATAGAGTTTACAGTCATTTACCACTTAAGTTTACTGAGACAGAAGGACTTTTTGAGTGAATGAATGATTTGTAGGGATGAATAAAATACCGATCAGCTAGTGTGATAAAATGATACGATATGGCCGAGTGATAGTTCTCCATCAAACTAATGTATTGATGTAAGTCTCTCAATGGACGGATTTCAAAGAAAAGATCATTAGTTAAAAGAATAGGATTTCTATTCAACAACATAACATAAGATATATACATATATATTCGGTATGGGGTTGTAGAGTTCTATTGAGTAGCCATGGCTAGTGGAGTTGAACCCTGTTCGGTGTGAGAGCTACCCAACGGAAACAATAAAAGATGGTGGCATAATGTCACAGAATGATTAAAGTTCGGCATTAACACCGTTGGATGCCGAATTAGCTGTCTAGAAGTTAAGAGTTCACACACAGGATCGAAGGTGCTGAGTTCAATTTTCGTGTGTGGGGTCATGAATGCGCACAGCTGAGGAGTGCCATACTTGAACGTAACGGCTGTCTAGTGTTTCCAGGTTTTCAATAATGGTTTGAGATCGGTTCATGATTTCAGTGATATATATATAATGCTAACCTAAAATTAATGTGATTAGTTATCATAAACCATTGTAGGATATCAGAATTGTAGACCATTCGCTTACCAACAATGATCTAACAGTTAGAGTTGATTCTGATACACTGTATCATTTACAATACGTCATTCGTCAGGGAAAAATGATAATAAAATGATTTTTATTGAAGTATTCATATGACGTATTAAATAAGTATCACAGTTGGGTAGCTGTTCAAGTGAATGCTATTTATCATACAGAACCAAATTTAGTTAATGTAACGTTAGATAGAAGTATCGGATAACCAGTGTGGCCATAACTTTATTGTGTATAAGTATTACAATCAATCGAACCCAGTAGCCAAATTGAGGTTCGTGTACTCCAATTTGCATGTGGGGGATAAAGGCATTAATTTGGGTGTCAAAGGTAAAGTGGGATCTGAGGCAGTAATTCAGTAGTTGAAGGTCTAGCAAGCAAAGGTGCTTACAGAACTATATGGTGATGTAAACTTTCTAATCCATTAGTTAATCAGCGAAATGAATACGACTATGCAATTCGTACTTCGACAAGCGAAAATAAGGAGTCATAAAGGAGAAATAAGAAAAACAGCAACTATTTAAGTGTAGATGAAAATAATAGCGAGATTATTTTACATTCAAAGTAAAATTTTGGAGATTAAAATTATATATAAAATTACCTCATTAATTAATTGATGCATAATTATTTTCGGAACCATGTCACGTTGTGTTTTAGTAACGATTTTCATGTAGGAGTCAACTAAATTACGTATAATTTCTACTTGTCTTTCAAGTTTAGGATCAGTTGGTATTTTATTCGTATCACCATCATCAGTCTGTGGCACAAAAAGAATATTTTAAAAATATACATATGCTTAGATGATAAGATTCACAACAGTATTACTATTATTAGGCAGTAGGAACGTTGATCCACTGAGTTTATTGAACAATTATACACATTTTTTAATCAAGTACGAAACCATCTACCATGAAAATAACAAATAAATAACTTTACAATTTAATTTATTCCAACTAAACATTCTATATGAATTAGTTTAGGAGTGAATTTTTGAGAACATGAAATAATTAGTCACAATGTGTTTGTAAAACATAAGAACTACCATCAAATGTAGTTTACATAGATCGTTATATCTCCTCCGATACTGCCTTAAAATATATCTCCCTCTATTATTGAGCTTGTACAGACATTAGATGTTTGATTAATGTTGTAATTAGTAAACTTTACTTTCAGTTTTATGTTATCTCTCGTTATTCGCATTTCTTATCCTCATTATGTCATTAACTTCTTTATCGTAAGAATGTTTACAAGAGAGTTAATTAGTTAAAATAAAACAAATCAAAAGCAGTTGATCGTAAAACAACCAAGCATATACATGACGACAGATCTATCGTAGTATTATTTGTTCCTATTCCATGCTCTCGGTTTTCTTTGTCTTCTCTCAAGCTCTATTTAACAACAAACCCTTCCGATTATTGTGAAGTATCACCATTCAAAGTTGAGGTTAGAAAATTTCACATGTTTTATGTAGTTTGTGTGGAAAATTAGGGCAGTAGTACCAACCACTGTTACCTAACGAGTACTGTTTAAATACCATTAACTAAAACTTCAGTTGATCCATTTGTTGTTCTATTTCATCGTGATAGAGAAGCTCTACAAACCGACACATCTATGTATATATTTATTACGGCATTGTTTAGAACGTCTTAACAGTGCATATATGAAACATTGCTAGAAATAAAACCAGAATTTTTGTAGTCAGTATATTTTAGGATGAAACTTTGAAAAAAAAACTGATAACCACGAAATAACTCGATAGTAACGTTTTTTAACATGAGACCAAGTAGAATTGGATTTTTAACCAATTATCCATGATGAAGCAGGTAGTTCACAGTTTTGGAAATTTGCATAAGTAAACTAATGATGGTGTTAAGAATAATTACAGTTCCATTCCCATAATTTTCATCTTCTTCTTCAAAGATTAAATATCACTTGAATTATAATTGAAAAACATAAATTACTTCGGAGCTGCCTAGATATCATCCAATAAGTTATGTATAAGATACATTACCAAGTCTATACAACACAGAACCCAAGATTCTGCACCTATTTCCTGTGATCATAACAGCTATAGGATGCATTGTCTTAAACAGCATTCACTTTATCGAATTTAATGGAGTCAGTATTCTATACTTTGCTATCTTCTCAATAGTCATTTGATAGAAATTAAAATACAATTTTTATAATTATAATAACAAAGCACATATCACGTACACACACATCTAGGAACATAAAAAGTAATCACGAGGCCTATGTTATGCTTAGTTGATGTACATTAAACCATGCATATACACATAAATCATATGACTTGAGATTAAGGGCTATGAGAAAAAAGTTTTTCTAACAAAAATCTTAAAATTGAAGAGTACAATATGATGCCATGGTACTACTTGATCACATAAAATGACACTTTAACTAAATCAATGAACGAAGTTAATTTACTAAAAATAGCTAAATAATAAATAACTAAGTTTACAAAAGAAAAGAAAACAGAATAACATTAATTGATGTTAGGTGATTTATTATTAGTACTATGAAAGACGAAATTAATTTATTTCCTCCTTGTTCTTCTGTCATTCACTACTGATCAATAGTCGACCAGAATCAACATTGTATTGTATGATAACGTAAAAAATCTATTGTATAATTAATCAGTAAAGATAACAAGAGTTTCGTAAAGAAATTGTTCATTTGCAATGAAGTGATCTACTACAGTTGTACAACCGTATTTATAGTTATTTTTTTAAAACAATAGTCTGTAATAAAACAGATAAGTGTTCAGTTATTGATACGGTTGTCAAAAACTAAATGGAAATACTTTCAAGTATTCAATGGAAGTTACAAAATAATTGCGAATAACATTTATAAGTGAGATGTGAAAGATAATTGTTCACTTGACCAATATAAAGGATAAGAGAGTACATATGAAAACAACTTACAAAATTGTAGAAGGAATGAACTGATAGAAAAACAATCAATTAAATATATCACTTATGAAAACATAGACTAGAGGATGAACTGAAGAATCGCTAGTCTCAACTATACATACATACAACTTAAGTTCTTTCTGTGAATATAAACGACGGAACATTGAATACATGTCGGTTGAACAACATATACACAAACGTTTCCAAAACAATGGCTAAAGGATTAAAATAAACGGCAGAACACGAGACGAGACATAAAAACATATAATATTTGATTACTTACCTGTTCGTCTGGTTTTCCAGATGGATCATGAAACACTCCAGCACGAACTAAAGCAGCTTTCCAAGCTTCAACCGCTTCTTCTGTATCTGCAGATAGATCTAAAGTTTTGTGATCTTTGTACAGATTAACTTTAGGGTCTGGATGATGAAGGACAAACGTTGGTCGTTTTGAAAAGAATCCTGTATCACCGCTACGTTGTTTTAATCCATCTAAAGGGAGAACAAATCGTCTCTCACGTTCCTAGTAGAAAAGAAAGCGAATTCCATAATATTTTCATACGTGATTTTGAACAATAATTCTCTGATAAACTTTATACTACTTTATTACTTGATGGAAAGTATACAGATTAGATATAAGAAACAGTATTTTACATTCTAAATTCGGTCATTCGTATATCGTCGTTAAAAGCTGTACATTAATTTAACGGAATGAATGAAAATATGTGCGCTCAAAGAACTAGTTTCAAAATATTGCATCAAAATTCAGATTATTAATAATAATAACATTAGCCTCTCTTAGCTATTTTATATATCATAAGCCCATTTAGCGGAAACACAGCTTTACAAAAGTTTCTTAAAGAGCCAAGTAATAAAACAGTGTGCTTAGGCATATTATTCTCCTACCTAATGTCTCCCTTATAAAGAAAGGTTCCTTTTTCCCTTTATTGATTCTCATCGAGGACTGATAAAAGAAGGCACTGAGAACTACCAGATATATTGAGTTATCTTACATTCAGACTCCCCAAAACTGAGAGCAGACAAGACTAGAAAAAAAGACCAAAGCCACATGGCTACATGGTAGTTTCTTTATAGTTCAATAAATTAAAATCATAAAAAATGGTCACATATGAATAATGGTCATGCTGCATCAAGAATTGATTGCAGTTAGATTTGTATTTGAAGACGCCAAAATAATGATTTGAATTGTTAAGTATTCAATGCAAAACCTGAAAGTTCTGTAGTTGATCTCTCGTATGGTTATCATCACTTTTTAATATCAAAATACTGAAAAATATTCTATTTAATCCAATCAAGTACAATGTTAACACATTTTGCAAGTATCTAGATATGTGGCAATGAATTAATATCTACAGTAGATTTTTTATTAAAAATTAGTTCAACAAAAGAAAACACAATACACACTAAGATGGTAGACAAATAAGGTGCATTATTTTTTTACTAACTAGGCATCAATTAACCATGAACACACACATACTGAATAGATAGCATCCTACAGGAATATCAAGATGAGTATGTGAGTAAATTTTTGTTGAGATAACAAACAACGTTTGACCTTGTTCATCATATGTTTTAATCTTATTTAAACAATCGATTGATGAGAAATTCAGTAAGAAAAAAAAGTGTGTTAGATCTAGGATTAGATCATAAACTAAATATTGTGCTTAATAAAATAAAATAATGAAATTAATAATAGGTGTGGATGGAAAGAGAACATAATACTGATAATAATAATAATAATAATAATAATAATAATAATAATAATAATAATAATAATAATAATAATAATAATAATAATAGTAATAATAATAATAATAATAATAATAATAGATTAGTGTGTTGACACAAAAAGGAATTTCGATGCTGTATATACTTTCACAAACAAGACACATATTTTTGTTAATGTACTTATAAAAAAACAATTGTCAATAAATAAAACAACGGAGATTTAATTGTCTCTCTATTTTGTTTTCTTTCAAGGAATTCAAGTATTTAAAAGTATAATTTAATAAGGTACATGAAAGTCAGAAGAGTTTGCAATCATAAAAATGATTAAGACATTATGATATTATATTGATTATCAATTCACTTAGTCGATCATATACAGAAATAATCGATGACAAATTCTAAACTTACATAAGTATACGCAATATCATTCGGGAATACACTTTAATGTTGCATAATTAAAAGTAGTCAATGGGATTTGATAAAATTAGAATTAATGTTTTCTATATGAATTAATAATTTAACGAAAATATACGTTTTTAACAATCGGTCATTTTATATTTTGCTATCCAATTATTTGGAGGGGGCTTTATACCAGTAATTTGGCCAACAAGATTACGAGTCATTAGAATATTTTTTCACATCGATTGAGATACTCGAATAAAAATATATCACTTTTAATGTCATGTCCCAACCATTTATTTGGAGCGCTGGTTTAGTGATGATAATACTCATTTAACAACTGGCAGATTGTAAATATAAACATCGCCTCATTTGTTTAAGCTTCATTAACTAATTACTAAGACTAGCTGTCATAGAAAACAATTAGATCGAGCACGTGGAACTAATTACCTTGAAAAATTTCATTCTCAATATATCAAATGACTGGTTAGAATTTTACATAATCTTAGTGCATTATGCTTCAAAAAAATAATAACTGAGACAAGGATTCACTAAACTCTTCCGATCAATGAAAGCGCATATATATTTTAAAATTGATAGCGTATTGGTAAAAATTTCCTGAATTTTAATTAAAAGTTTCACATTATATTACTGAACCCATAGATAATATTGACTTGATAATCTCAGCTGTTACTAGAAAAGCAATTGTGACGTAGAACATTTGCTCTGTAAAATTACTGAAATAGCAACGTTTCCTTTTCATATAATGGATGAATAATAACTAGCAGTGTAATCTGGTATGTGCATTTCATCCTATTTTAGAATTATCAATTGGATGCAACTTCAATTGAGTAGTGATATTCAAACAGAGATTGAAAGACAGTGTTTAGCTTTCATTTTAAACGTTGACACATAATCTAATGAGTTCAGATGGGTAAGGATTTAAATTAGTCTGTTGTTGATATTCAGAAGTGAATTTCAACTGGTTTTTCTCGGCACATGTGTATCCTGTAAAGATTGTCGTGATATAGCCATTTTATTGCATTTTTCCAACAATAATGTTTCCTTTCAAAAGATTTTGGTTAGCTATAAAGTAGTGACAATTTACATTCATGAGATATACTTTAACTGATAATTAATACTATAGCTATAAGCCATAATTCACCCACATAATCACAACTTTATGGAATTTTATAAGTTTTCTGAAATATATATTTATGATAAAGAGAAAGTTCATGATCGATTTTTTTAGGAATCCATTTTAAGTTAGACAATATTTCACAAAACGGTTGAACTGCAGCAAGTAACAACATCCATGGTCACTCATGTCTGCGTCTTCATAATAATAAAATTATCATTTAAAAATAATAACTGTCAATAACTGTGAAAATAATTTACTGTCTGAGAAATATATAATCAACAATTCCAAAAATGTAGACATATTGACCAACATAAAAACAAGTCACAGATATATATATATATATATATATATATATATATATATATATATATATATAAATTGATTATCGAAATGACGATACGAATTGAAACAGTCCTCGATGTATTCACACATGATTGGTTACCTAATGTCAAGAAATAGGATAGTTGACTTTAGATGTTTTATATTGTGAAACTCTTAATCCATGGATAATCTAATTTTCTGGGTATTATTATAAAAAAATCGATTTTTGTTTTTAAACTGAACTATTTCAAACCTATTTGATAAATATGTGCTTAATATAAGATGAAACCTTCACGAATGTACCAAAATCAGATTATTAGTTTCAATCACAACTTATCAGTCAATAGTACATAAAAAGTGTTGACGACATTCCTAGACCTAGTATACTTATTTCATGACTACGAGTTTGAAAGTCTTTCTAATTGATTCATCTACTAGTTAGTTTACTGACAATTAACAATCTCCATACGAAAATTCTATATATGCGGGTCCTTGACTAATTGATTAATTTTTTTGTCAAGTTAACTTCATCCTGAGTAATTTCTTTTACTAGATCTTCACATATAGCAATATGATTGAAAGTAAATGAATGGCATTTTTAAGCAAAGTATCATATTCGTTTGCAGTGAAATCAAGATGTACGTTACGTTCTATTTGAGACTCATCAGCAGAGTGTACCAGTATTGTAATACTAATGTTCTCATCAAAACTTGAACACAGTGCCTTTTGTTTCAAACGCCTAATGTATTGACCATGGAGCTAATGAGTCTAGATGGCTGCTGGCTTGTGGAACCAAGATGATTTTCATTTCATCTGTAAGGGTTTGTATCATCCAGTTCTTGATGTAAAGTGTTGGGAAGGCTTCGAAAAGCACAATTAAGCTTTCTGAGGTTCTAAAGGAGCCGAAGAGATTCCATCCAACCAGAACCTGATCGAGCTTTCTAGAATGTCAACGTGCCATGCTATGATTGGACAATACCATAACTTGCCTTGGGGATCGGCTGAATTATGATGCTATTACAGCCAATACTAGTAACTATGAATACCCATGTTTTTCTGCACATTTCTTATTCTTATCCAATAACTACTTCCCTTGCTTTTTGCGTCTTCTAATTTGCGATTGAGGGGTTCTACGCGTTCGATTGTCGTTAGTTGTATATCGTATTCTGTTGTAATCAAGTAGAGGAGGTAGAGGACCGGAATTAATTAGTAATAGTTTATTTTTGATTCGTGAGGAAATACATAATCTAAAAACACTTCTCATTCGGAAGAAGTATCAGCTTGAAACTTAAAGAACACGAAAGGACAACTGTCTCAGATCATAGAATATAGGATACTTTAGTAAACCGCATCTATGGCTCAATGCGCGTATGAAGACGGGATGTTTAGGTGGAGTATTCGTTCAGAAATTTGCAGTTGGTGCTAGTTTGTGATGAAAATTACTTTCGTAAATACACAAACTGAAATCTTCAAATCATTTACCATAATCAATAACTAAGTATCAAAAAATTGTGAAATAAAAACCATCAAGGCAGAATAGAATGAAAACATTTAGTAACTTTTTTTCAAATAGTTATTAGAAAGACTACTGCATGAAATGAAATAGTTTACGACAAAAAATACTAATCAACATATGCTATACTTATCAAAACAATTCTTTCCATTTTAAGTCGGGGTAGAAAAACTCGATCTCTCAATTTTCTAGTTTATCTTCAAATAAAAATAGTAACAATTGTAATAGTAACAGGATGTGTCAACCAGTCAAAAAATTAATACATGCTGAATGGATGTACATATTATGCAAATTTATGTACATATTTCTCAGCATAAATCGCTGGTGAAAAAAACAACAAATCTAAACACAATAATTTTGAAATAAAACAAAACAGAAAAGTTCAAACAGAAAAATAAAACAACCAACATAAATAGAAATAAGTAAAAACAGAAGTATCACCAATCATTTTCAAATTGATATATGGTGGTTTAAGTCTTCACTTTGTTGACATTACGAACTGTGATTGATCAGTCACTTTTGACATTTGTACACCTTTCTAAGCGGATTGGCTCGACACTGTTATTTAGTCACAAGTATTTAAGTTGAACAGTAAGTATATGGAGTCAGACGCTCAGTGGATAATGCGTTAGGAGTTCGAAATGAATTATATTAGGTTTTATTCCCTGTGTGAATGCTAAGGATGCGATACTGATGAGTCCCTACTAGGACAGGAGCTACATCCTAGGTTTCACTGCTACTCACTACTCATCTTTACTTAGCTATCGGTAAACGTTAAATAAGTGAATGAGAGTAAAGAGTGAATTAAAAATAGGGTGGGCAGATAAACGAAAAGGTAGAAAAACATCACTTACTTCATCATCTTTGTACCAAGTCAATGTATCTGTAGTTAATACGAACCAGCAATAACGACTACCACCACGCAGTAGACTTGGATTGATCAAATTAAGCCACCCTTTACAGATTACCTAAAACAAAATATAAAATGACAAAAAGGATGGATAAGTGGTATATAGGCATGATTCTATGAAATTAAATACAGTTGTACAGAATATAATATCGAAATAGCGTCAAGAATACAATAACTTGTTCGAAATAAAATGAAATACCGGTTAAATAATAGGGAAACAGACTGCTGCGAAATTGTAGAAGTAGAAGAGTAAAACGTCATATAATCAAGAGGTATGTAAACAACGATAGTAGTTAATTAAAAACACTGTCAAGTTACAAAAAAATACTGCCAAAATGTTTTGCAGCCAGAAGGATTCGTCTATCACAAACAATGTAATAAAAAACTACATTTATTTTGAGCGATATCTGATATTGTATCAGGCAACTGAGTTGTTCCATCTTAAACAACTCAACCAGGGAGTTGTGATAAGTGAACAGATTTCAATCTCATAGCTCTATCCTTCATAGTACAACGTTGTACACCATAAACTGGCCAACTCATTAAATTTTCCACGGAGTTATGATATTGCGAAATGATATGTGGTGCGGAAACCAAGGGAATAAAATTCCTAAAACTTAATCAAGCAAACGAAATCGGTATTTCAAGATGATTAACTGGATTATGGCTACTGAGCTAGAACACACTGCAGAACCTCGTCACTACTAATAGTCAGTTCAATAAGAATGAAAATGAATAAACTTATGTACAGAGGAGGCCATTGCAATCCACCATTTGAGCCTTACCTTTGAGTAAAAAAACAGTGTGTTCAGTCCCTCATTCTACTATAGTCTTAAGTTCCGTTTTTATTTTCATTTTTATTTTATTATTTCTACTCTATCCCAATTACATTCACAAGTTTCAATTATTTTCTTAATAGCTGTCAAGTGGAAAATTATCTTCATCTTACCACTTTTTCACCGGCCGATTATTGCATAACTTCCTTCATTATCTGATTTTTAAGTCTTGACAACATACCATTTCAAGTTTTTTTAATGCTTAGCACTATTCTGTCTTACTATAGAACGTTATTTTAGCAAATAAAATAAACTACAAATAGGATTGTACAGCTTAAGTTAAAAGGAAAATATTCTTTGTTGAATTGCCTTTTTTCTTCAATGGCATGGTACTGCCGTTCAATGCCAGTAATATTGCAGAGACAATGGTTATTTTTGGACATTGTAGGCTCGGGAAGTCCAGGTTTCATAAGCACAACGAAAAAATGCTTCCATCGTTACGTTGTAATTTCGACCTTTTAGAGATAAACTAAAATGATCAAAACGCAGAATTGAGTCCATAACAGTAGGACTAACACGACTACTTTTAATTATTTTCAGGGATAAATGGCGGCAACAGAATGCTGTTATTCAGAAGAAAGTACTTCGCGTTTCTACGCTCAACAGTAAATGCTATACTTAGAAACTAACTGCAAATTGATTAAGTGATACTTAAACAGTCTACATTATCACCGCACAACAAGACAATGTCATCCACGTATTCGATATAGAAAAGTCATTCTCCAGGAAAGTGATAGCACCGATCAACCAATATATTATAAAACTGAAAGACACATCCTTGTTCAGCTGATAACATCAAAACGCAGTGACATTTAGAAAACCAAGGATGGTCTTACAGACAGAAAACACAAGCGATGTCGGATTTAAAATCGTTTAGGAGTGGAGGGTAAAGATATGGTCAATACACCTACGACATAAACAATTTTCACGCTCATTGTGATTCAATCGTTCACCAGTTTTGTACAATCTGTGACAAATGGCGCGAAGATGATTTGCCCACACTGTCACACTTTGATGAACAAGTTTAATATACACTGAACTTGTTTCAACCACATATGATGTTGTATGCAAGAAATACGACCTAGTTACTGAGATTCAATTATGTAAAGGAGAATCCGAACAAGGTATTTAATAAGTCAAGTGTATAAACAAGTGATTTAAAATTCAACCATATTCGTAACTGGTATGAACACGTTTCGATAAGCAACCGATCAACGTGATATTTTTCAGAGTTGAAAAAACTATATTTTTAAACATTCACCTACAGTTGGTTGCTATTAATCGAAGTTATTATCTTTTGTTGGTAGAATCAAATAGCGAAATTGTAATACTTTTTTAGTTCATAAATAATTTTAAGTATGAATAAAGGATCAGAATACTAGTGAGTAATGCCATAGTAATTGGAGCAATGGATAGTTGGGCTTCCATTGAAAGAGCAAAGCCCAAATTGATCGATATAGTAATGCAACTTGAGTACAACAAAAGGTATATGTGTTTTAATATTTACTTTTTCTTAACAAAACATTTTGCGACTAACTGTAAATTTGTCTATCCAGTATTTTCCCTATAAACATGTGTGTAACTAATCAGCTATATATAACGCTTATATTATTTAAATTTGGTAACTCAAGTTCAGTTACTTCACTTGTTCATAACATTTCTAAAGTAAACGTTCGAGAAAATTATCAGAAACAAATCTCTGTACTGTTAATGAAATAAGTTTAACTATCATTGCTTAATAATTAGTGGAAATTGTTCACATTAAAGTGTCAGTGGACTGGGTGAATCGCTTTCACACTTTCTTTGGACAATTTGATATATATATCATTCTTGAAGGATTGGATATAAAATGAACCTGACGTATTCTACAGAATAATAATGAAAAGTAATGAGGGGCCGATAGCGAAATATGAGATGGTAGTATTATTCGATATGAAAACAAAGATATCATATATCATATACAAAATGCAGATTACTGTTAGTGCTATATCACTTACTTGATTGCCAAGTTTACTTTTGGCACTATCATTTGCTCGTTGCTCAGCACTGTGAAGAGTGGGAAGAAAGAAAAAGAAATAGACAGAAAAGGATTAATTTATAAGAGGACTTTAAAGTAATTATCAATATAAGGTTGAAGGGATTGTCAACTTCTATTGACATCACGAACCAATATAAGTTAGACAGTTATTGAAAGCCTGAAAGCATTGGACGGCCGTATAGGCCTAGCACAGGACTCTTCAGTATAGTGCATTCACAACCTCGCGACGGGTAATCTAATCTAGAACCAGTCTCATGTACAAACTCTAGTGATGTAGAAGTCTAACTTTAATCAATTCATTTTATGACGCAACCATCTTAAATAGTTTATAGAGGAGTTGAAAGATATGCAAGTGAACTGTCAGTGATTAGCTCACACAAAGATTGTTAACTACTTCGTACACATCGCATATTGAGTAGTTATTCACATTAATGCATAGGCGAATCAGTAATCATGCCCAGATCTGCGTAGTACGGATTGAGCCACATCTTTCTGTGGGAAATCTGATAACAGTACTTTGATTCTTAAACTGAAGTAAGGTTTAAACCTTCAAACGTTTTACAAGATAAACCTGGCTAGAAACATAACAAGTAAAAGTATAGGTAAAATACATTTGTAAACTGATTCCCCAGATAGAATGTGTGAAGAAACGTAATACAAACGATTTATGTAAAATAAATTCGAAAAATCAATCATAAAAGATTTAGGATTCACATTTTACAATTTTTGCGCTTTTTGTAACGCATGCAAGTTTTAGGTACGAATCTTGAATGTTATACGTGATCAACGGATATTGAATTATGATATCAAAAACTGTGTATATGTAGAATCTAAATATTTAAGGATTAGGACAAAATATACCTCACTAACACTTTATTGGGATTAGCAGGTAGTATTCACCACAGATTCACTTCAGTTTGGGTACTACTCCAAAGCAGGGAGCACTGGATAGCTGTTTCGTCATGGTATGGAACTCCGCAGTAGTGTGCACCCATGATACCTTGAGGACCAAACCCGAAACCCTCAGGTCTAAGGTTAAGTTATTAGCCATTAGGACTAGTACGTTATTGTTTGACAGTAAACATTTGCATCTTCACACGATTCGTGTTATAGCGCGACGGTCATTCAATGGGACTGGTGATGTCTTATTTACTGTAAATATCTCTGAACTATACAGACAAGGGATTTTCACTGAGACATCAAGAAAGTCAATGGTAACGACACGATGATAGACCTAATGAAGAGACTTTCTGAGGTCACGTGTACACACTACTAAGGAGTATACGACTACGACGAAACAGTTGTCCAGTACTCCTTGATTTTCAATGGTACCTCAATAGACGTCTATTTATGACGAATACCACTTACAAATTAAACCAACCTCCACAAAACCCCTTCACTGGTACGTTTTTTTGGAAGCAAAGAGCAAATCAAATGCTAGTATCATACTTATATATTCCAGAGTTAGGTTATTAAAGCATCCAACTTTTAAGTAGTGGGTTGTAGGTTCAAACCCCTTATCAACGACTTAGATTTGCATAGCCAGATAACTCTGGGAAATGAAAAGTGCAGTTTAAACCACAGTCATATATCCAGTCACTTGACAAGCAAAATATTTATTCATAGTTAGAGTAACTCCAATTCATTTAAACATGCTTGAATGTAGACAGGGTAGGTAGCAAAATCATACTACACTAAATTGTTAATTTGTAGTGGATATGTTCTAAGAAATAACCTGATAAATCGTTATTTCATAAATTAAAATAAAAAAAACATAACTGCACACAAGTGTGATTTAAAATGTACAACTGATATTATACAATGAAGTTTGATTCAAATGAAGTAATTATACTCTAATATGCAATGTATATGATGATGAGAACATACTAAGAATAGACAAAAAAATTTTACATTCTTTAGACAACAGGTCATTTGTTAAAAATTTGATTAATATATGCGAACTTCGTAAATATGTTATGTATTTAAAACGTAAATGGTCATATAGTATAACTACAATTTATTTGGTACGTTGTTAACACAATCGATGGTGTTATTTTTGTCAGTTATCTTGACTCTTTTCATTCTTTGAAAAATCTTATTTGCATATCTATGTATGAATCATCTGCGTAAACAAAATTAATTATTAATAGACTAATTTCATATAGTGTTACTTGACAGATTTAGTTTCAGGAGTAAAGAATTAAGTGAAAAATTGGTATAACATTAAGATTTAAGACAACAGACATGAGATGATTCTATTGATTTAGATTCAATTGTTGGTTGCTACAGTTTGTTTTATTTCTACTACAAATATTTTGCGGATCTATCGTGTGAATGTAATGTATCAAACTAACCACGCTATGGCTTTTCATAATACAAATAAAGGTTAATTATGTAAGGTGACTGTTTAATTAATTCTTAACGACAAGTTGATCCAGGCCAAGTTTGAAACTTTACAGTAGCAACTTCTACAAATTACGCTACAGTTAACAGTTCCTAATTGTTAAAAAGGACTAATATTAGCGGTTCATTTTAAATTTAGCAAAATTATACAGTGATTATGATACAATTCTTAATGGATAGATGAAGAAAGAATGTAAAATACTTTAGTCACGTGTATGTACGATTTTTGACGGGATAAAATCGGCGGTAAACAGATATGATATGGGGATTACATAAATGTTAACAATTAGTGAGATTGTTTTTATGACAAATATGTTGAACAGTAATATTGGGAGGTTGGATTTACTTTCAGTTTTCTAAACTACTGTTCATTAAGCGGACATATAAACAGAGGAAAATGAAATAGGAATCAACATAACTGCACCCATATCAGATATATGGTCGATGAATTCAGACACGCCTGAAACCCATTAGCTTTATCTGACTTAGCCATGTCCTGAACTCTGAATGATATTGGAAGCCATGGTTTCAGAAACCATACTGGTCAAGATGATAATTGTATGATAATTATGAGATAGTCCCGATCCTTTAGTTTGTCCAGCAACCAACTTTCGATTAATCTCACAAATTATAAACACAGAAAAGACATCTGGCATCAAACCGTCCAACGCCTGTAATTCTATTTCTTATTCAGTTTTTGAGAACTGACTCAATCTTGAAAAAATATTAGAATCTGGTGTCCAATCATCATTTAGTCTGTTCGTCAAAGTGTATCACCCAATTTTCAAATGAAACACTGCTTGTCTGTAGACGTAACGTGAGGCAGGTGAACGATCGAAACATCTCGGCTACATATACCGTGGTAGGATATTTATACTGCACAAAACTGGAAAATTACCACATTAATATAGATAGTTTATCGACAGGGAGGGTTAGACACAAAGCATAGGAAATCACTAATCGGGGTCAATTACAGTCGGGTTTTGTGAACATTTGTTGTAGTGTTGGCTCCTTACATTTTAAATTATTTCACAAAGGTAAAAAAAATCCATTGAACATAAAATTTCCCCATTTTAGTGCCAAGATTCCTAATCTCTTTGTTTAAAACTATTCACGTCTAAAATGACAAACATTTGGAAGAGATTTTAGTGGATGTGTGAACAACCAGGAGTCAACGGTAAATAATACAAAACCCTCAGTAGTATAAGCAGAGTATAATAGATCTCAACAACAACAGATCTCTTACTACTCAAAAAAAAGAAACTTTTTGACTGTTTCAAAGAGTAAAATATTAAAATTCAACCTTAACCACTGTAATCTAGAACAAACATTTTATCTCAAATCCTTGCTTATTAACTAAATGCGTTTTAGTTTGTAGATTGTGATTAGAGGGTAGATTAGTAAATTGTTCTAAATACCATGATGTTATTGATCAAATAATCATATATTGTTCAATACCTTCTAGTTGTTGAATACATTTTTATTATAACTTTTAAATAAATAAATAATTATCTCATAAATTAATTACTTTTGAAAACCGATAAAATCTTCATGATTTGTATTCATATAAGCTAATTGAAAATCAATTAATGTTTGAATTTGTTCTTTAGTAGCTATTTCTAATTCACGAACCCGCATATTGACAACACGTTCAATTTCTTCACGAAGCCGTGGAAATCGTCCTACCTATGATGAAAGCAAAATTTAAAAATAGAGAAAGAGAGAGAGAACGCGTAAAAGAAAAATTATAATATAACATACTAAACAGTAGATAAGAAAATATATATTAAAAAAGTGAACAGATACATAGATAGTTACCAAAGGTAAGTAAAAGTTTAATTTAACAATTATTATGAGAAACAGAAACAAATTGCAACCATCTAAAAACAGATGTACATGCAGGCTGATACTTTTTTTTAGAGGCGATAAGCTTTAAATAATGCATCATAAGATAATATGGTAGTGTATGTATGAGTATCTATGTAGAAGGGGTTGGAATATTTTATCAACATAACTAATCAGATTTTCTTTTACTTAATTTCTCGCAATAAGATTAGATAATAAAATATGCGCACATATGAAGTATCTAATCATACAGATAACCAAATAAAATGGTTAATTTACGTTAAAATCAAGTATGACTTCATTTATCAGATAAATACAAATTCTGACAACAAATGTTTCAGACTTTAGATAATGTATACACCACAGGAAACACTGGTATTAGCAGGCTTAGTTTGCAGTAATCATAATAAATAATAGAAATGATTTATTTCTATACGGAGCAATTGGGGTGAACATTTAACTGATATATATATATATATATATATATATATATATATATATATATATATATATATATATATGATTTTTGATTATCAATATGTCATAATTTATCGTGTGTTAAAACAATCATCATGATTAAATAAATATTTCGGTGGGGTTTCGTTCTCTGAGCTGGATGGTTTGGTCGTGGAGCTTTTTATTATCCTTCTGAACAACATCATCACAAACTTCATGTAAAAATGAAGTATTCGAATTTCTCCACATATGACTCCTGTCGACCTCTTTCTTGACTAGTTAATCAGCTCAGCGAATGAAACTTCACCCAAATCATTCACTTGAGCTACAAATCTTCTCCACTATCTCACAAACAATAAATAACTGAAATTTATTCAAAATAACCGAGTACTACTGGATGGTATTTTTCTTTTAAATCACATTCTCATCAGTAAATGTACGTGTTAAAAAGACTCGAAATAATCATGCTTAAGAAATGTCAAGCAGTTATTGCTGACTGTTAAATCATTTGTGAAAAATCCAACCAACGATATTGAAAATTTATATTACTTGGAAAAACAAACAGTTTGATTCGTGTTGTCATCATATTTTCATTGTGTTTTTAAATCACAACGATTTAGATACAAAACCGATGAGCTCGCATAGCAAGCATATATTTCTATGAAAGGGCCAAGTATTAATGACAAATAAAATTGCACTGGTAGAGTGGACATTATAATCAGTATGAGTAGAACTTACATGAATATTACATAACAATCTAATGAACGTGACCTCAATTTATTTAAAAAGTTATAAACAGTGATGAAATTTTCACAGATTTAAATCATGAGTCAGTTGAAGTTAGACCACCATTGAAAACCTGGAAGCACTGGACGGCCGTTTCGCCCTAGTATGGGACTCCTCAGCAGTGCGCATCCACGATCCCGCACCACGCGGGGCTCGAACCCAGGACCTACTGGCTTCGCGCGCGAGCACTTAACCATTAGACCACTGAGCCGGCATCCAACGGTGTGATGAAATTGTCGTAGAATCTGAGAATTTTGTGTACGTGTTCGCTTTTATAAAAAAAAGTGTTATTTATGACTGCACTAGTCAGTGAAAGACAACAGAATAGATGGTGAAAATTAAAAAAAAACACTCTTTTGAACTTTTAATAACTGGTTCAGTGAAAATTAGTGGTTGAATATGTAAACAGGTATTATTTTCACTTTGTTCAGTTATTATTTCTCTATAAACTAGTATCACATTGAAGTTTTATGATGACTTTAATTTCTCGAATTCATTTATGATATGCACAGTCTCGAACGTACGATCACCTACACACATACACTTGAATGACACAAATAACAAACACGTGATTTATGAATTAAGCATAATGATTATAGAAAACATTCAATTTATTTCATGCAGATGATTGGTTATTTGTCACTATGCCTTCATCGTTAACACAGAGTGGTATATTTTCATATAAAAGTAACTGTATGTGGTCTTAAATTGGTGGTTGATTTATGAGAGAGGTAGAAAACTAATATACGTTTATAAAAAAGCTCACACGAATTAATGTTTGTTTATTCATACAAACTCTTTTATGCATATGATAAAAGCTTGATATATTTTTATCAAATGAAACATTTAATCCAATAAAATGAAAATCAGCCCTTAGAATACAATGATTACAACACATGTTCTAAAAATAATAATTATCAAGGGTTATCATGCGTAAATATGACATACTGCAAATAATTTCTTCAATACTAACAAAAGGATGAATCATATTTCTTCTACTGGACTTGATAAATCATTTGTTAAGCAACATCTAGTGTACAAATTGCAAAAGGATTGTACATTTTTGTAAAGTAACTATGTCTCTTGGATATAATTTATTTAAGTTCAAGTTTTCCCTGTTGTTTATCCTCAAGAACGAATATTGAAAAATTTAGGCTAGAACAAAATACAAATGTATAACCGTGTCGGGTGTGAAGCAGTTACCTACTGAAGACAATGAAATATGGTCGACGATATTACAGAATGATTGAACTTAGATATTAACACTGTTGAATACTGGCTCAATGGTTCTAGAGGTTCTTCCTGTTTTTGTTTTGTAAGGGCTGATCAAGAAGCATGAAATGTATGAAAAAGAATTGAGCAGAGAATGGGAACTTTCTTGAATATATTATCTACATATATTCGTGACAATTTGATGGAGTGTTAGAAAAAGACAAATAATTCATTTCAAAAAATTAGATAAGAACAACTTTCTCTACACTTTTGTATGTATCATGCTATAAAATATTTGTTTGGTAAACAAAAATAACTGGGTTACTTTGTATAAACAACAATAATGACAAGAAAAAAAACTAATAGTCTTACTACACTGTAAACACAATCATATCTTGAGGACTAACTGACATAAAAACTAAATGGTAAAACGAAGAAAGAATATCTATTACATACAGATAAATATACAACAACAAATATTAGAATCGAAGTGAAACAAATAAAAAGTGGAAACATACATACGTAATAGCGAGAGGATTACATAATAATTGTGACGTAACATACAGATTAGATGACTGGATTAAAGTTAGTGAAGAAAAAAAATTCAGAAAAGTGTTTTATGAAAAGATACTCATGTACATGGATAAGCATGCATATACAATTCATACATACATACATACTACACACGTGTAATATAAACACACAAGTATATACAGAAAAAGACAGTGACATCAACAACACTAATTTCATACTAACATTTGATGATAAGTTGATAACTTATGATTCATTAAGTATTCCGTAAGCGAAACGTGTATAATCTGGTGATAAACGGATGAAAGAATATTAAAGAGAATATCTAGACCAAACTGCTGTAGGATAGTTATATACATATAATACTTGACTTGATGGTAATGAAGTCAGTGTAGAAACAAGTAATTAAATGTTAATAGTAAAACAAAAAAGACAGCCACTTTTATAAAAAACGTTTCTTCAAGCACTGGTATAGTCTGAAGAGTAATGGAAACGTATAAATTAGAATTGAATGGTATCGTGAAAGTTATCTTCATATTTAATCGTTTTTCACGAACTCGGGTAATTAGTTGCCATGCGGTGACTAAGTATTAGAATCGAGATAGATCTCCAGTCGTTCTACTGGGAATCCAGTATCTGTAATGTTATGATTCAGTTGCTACTTATTGAATGACTTTCGATCTGTTCTATGAACTGACTACAGTTAAGAACGTGAACCGAAGGATTTCAAATTATGAGTCTAAAATATTGTGCTCCCAGTAAAAAATGACGTTCAAATGTATATGAAATAACGATGCAACTTAATGAGTATAAAATCGTGTAATCAGCTTTGAGTTACGCCTCACGTGTGAGAGCTGGTGGACACTAACCAATTCTCCAAACTGAAGAAGCAAGGGTATACGAACCTGCAACGTAGTGGTTGGAAGTAGAACTACTAAACCACAGCTCCATAAATATGTACAGTTGCGAAATTTCCAAATGGGAGCAAATAAATATCTAGTACACCCTGAATTTTAATTGTTTTCTAGACTCATGTAAATCCGTGACAAAAACTGTTTTGGAATTAAACAGATCTCCACGAACTAGCAAAACGAATTTCAACAAAAGACAAAAAAGTATCCGATAGATGAACGCAATTACTAAACATAATGATGATTTCAGGTAAAATGGCTAGTCAACTAGACGGGATGTTTTATACCGAGGATGATACAACTGGGAAAAGGTATAAGAATCGTCTAAGTACAAATTCATGTTTGGGGTAACTTATTAGTTCTTTTTACAACACTGAAAGACAGAATAAAATTATGGATCTGTAGGAGACTTTTATAAACATTTTTCTTTCGGTATTGAAAAATATGTTTACTGACTCGCTATTTCTGTAATCGGAAATTACTTTGTGCGAATTTTTCGCTGATGTGATTGCTCAAAAAGAAAATGTCTATTACTATGGATGACCTTAAAACTATTCTACAAATTCAGAAAACGCACAGTAATCCTAATCAAATGAGGCTTTGGGATGCACTTACTCACAAGTTCTCATTTCATTCCACTTCAACCTATTAGCCAGATACATATGAAAGCATGGCAAATCTCATTCATGAATCCAACTATGATCCTGAATTTGGTATCATATTTGATTCCAAGTTCCATCATTTCAAAGACATATTCCGTGTCGACTGCTGAGATCTCGATGATGCAACTATGGTTTGCCTACTGCTTAGAAGACTTGGAGCACGTGAATATAATAAATCTGTGGATTGCATCTTGCCACAGTATCCTTTGTTTTCTGATACAGTCCAAATATTATTTAAAACCAACTGGCTGAAAGCCGAGTGTTTTACCTATTAAGTCACTACTTCTTGAATCATTTTACTATGCGAAAAACATTTGACCAATAAATTTTTATCAATAGGATGCACTGCCAAATAACAATAACTGTATACCAAATCATTTAACACAAAAAAGCGATACTTTTAACCGTAAATATATCGTTTTGTTTCTTAACCTTGTATATCAAAAGTTCTATAACACAAATGTAGATGCAAATTGTGACAAGTGAAAAACAGACTAAATCTATAGTCTTATTCAGAAACAATAAAAGACTCAAATCAAGACGAGGCATTAGTTCATAAAGTCAGTGATAATTGGATTGAGTCATGTAACTACGTCCAGACTACTAGGTTGGGATCTACACCAGTATCATAACTATTGGTTAGAGATTTCGAATGTCATGACTGAGAAACATTCGCAATGATACATGTACATGCACTCTTTGTCCTCCCTTAAACCATATGTTTTTTATTTATCAGAAAGAAAATTCTTAATTCTACGAACCCACATTGTCAAATCATATCCTACATGTTTAATCTTTACTATAACCATTAATACTGTTTCTACATATGCAACTCAGGTATCTCGTTATAGTGTAGACTGGCAATTTGAACTGATACATACATGTTCCAAGTTTTATTTTTGTTTATTTAACTGATTGAATTAAAAACGTAAATAAAGAATAATAAATCATACGAATTAGTTATTATGAAGTACATGTAAGATAAACAATGTAAATAGATTAAGTAAATAAATAAACATATACATAGTAATTTGGATTTATTAGTGAACAAAGGCAAAAGATGGATATACCAATCGATAGCTGATATATTGATTAATTATTTAATGAGATACACAACCGATTTAATATAAATTAGCATAAGAATGAATGAGTAAATATTCAATGTGTCTTTCATCTGGATCATATGACTGTTAAATATTTATACAGAAATCAAGCTGAGTAAACAAGTAGTTTCTCAGACTCCAATAATGTTCTTTTTCATAAGTGAGGGTTTAAGTTTTTAAAATAAGTGGTAGCAGGATAATTCAGTACAAACTTCTCTAGTTGAAGCATTAACGCAAATCAATTTAGAAAGGAATTAAAGAGAAGACAAAACCATGAAGTATTATTTTCAAGAATAGCAAATAACCTACTAGCGCATAACACGGTTAGCCATGTTATATTAAAATGATTGTGAATAACTGATAACATACCACCGAATCCAATGGTCGTTGGGAAAGGGAAAGGGAAGAGTTCAAATTTCGATGATTGAGAAAAATCCTAGGCTTCGAAATGTTGAACATATTCAGAGAACATGTGATATTAAACCCTTACGGTAATCACTGGACTACTCAATTTTTGTTAATAATGTTAAAGCCTTACTAGTAGCGATAACTGTGTACATTTTTCTAATTGCATTTTTCACGTAACCCTAGGATCCTTCACTGCTGCACAATTGCATTAATAGTCCATTTACAGTTGAAATAATCTATTTAAAGGAGGAGTACGATTGCACCATATCATTTGTCAAGGAAAATAGGGTAATAATAGAGAATTGAAGAGCGATAATAAGATAAAATCAAGCCTGTTAATTGTCCACCTCACAAATATGTGATGAGTGAAGAATAAATTGAAAAAGTGAAGCTGATAAGAAAGAATTAAAATTGAGAAGATTAAGAACATCAGAAGGATGTATTAACGATCAAATAAGAGTTGATGAAAATTAAGTGTCAAAACAATGGGAGAATAATGGCTTATTACTATTGTTACTATTATTATTACGGGCCTTTAGGGCATATCCTTACGTACTATCAAAAGGAATTACCCACACGATGTACATTCAAATGTCCAGTATGGATTTAATTTCGAGTTCTACAGGCAAACTGATGGCATCGTTACGGGTTAACCACTCAACACTTTCTAGAGGACGGTTTCATGATCAATTTTAAGAACACGGTACTTAAAACGACGATTGGCAACTTTTACTTAAACAAAAGGTATATGGATGACACTTGATTATTTGTGATGAAAACAGTGACCTCAATGTCATTCTGGATAAATTCACTAGTTGGCATCAATCCATTAAATTTAATTACAATCAGAATCGAATTCCAAATCACAGTTCATCGATGTCTAATAAGATAGAACACCAAACGGTACATTACAAAGGTTTCGATATCGAAAATCAACTTGGAATGGACAATATACGAATTTTCAAAGCTTATTTACTTAGACACATATGCATTAGTAAAAGGAGGCACCAAATATCTATGCACCACACTTCGACATTCGATTTGTGTGAGGGCTGAAATACTGTTCGGGAGCCCAAACCGAAGCAGACTTTTCATAGTTGAGTTTCATTAAACCGAAAGACAAACTTAGTTCAATGTTTATCAGAAAACACCAGACGAATAGGCTCAGAAGACACGATAAACGATAGAGGAAATATTCAACCTACGACAGATATGCCTCAAAAACAGTTATACATCCAGGTTTGTTGAATGAAACATGAAACGAGAATTACAGTTTGCAAGAACTCACACAGTTCCTAAGACAACTCTCCATAAATTTTGGGTTCATCTTCAACCGAGGTACTGCTGTAGAGATTTTGTAGAACCGTCCAACGAAACCTTTGAGGGAAACTTTTTATGCTGGCTAGCTTCATAGCGTCCTTTCCAACTGTCTCATCATTCACGATATTTCAAGGACAAACTCTCGCATCGGGCCACATAATTGTTTATTTATATGTTTAACTGTTCTTTTGGAGCAGGTTACATTGGCCACACAAGGCAAACGCTTTTTGAACGCATGGCCAAACATTTTCTTTATGGAATTGCTTTTAATTCTTTTTCAATGGCACCTCAGGTTATTTTCATTGTTTGTTGGATAAACGTTTTACATAAGTAGGCAAATGATGCTGAACAGAGTACAACTATTGCTAACTTAATTACTGAGAGTTAAGTACCTTAATTACTGAGTAAAAAATATCCTCAGGATTGCGGAATGTAAACTTACTTAAACGACTTCATCTCTAAATACCGCTTCCACCATAAAAAGATTTCAAGAAATATTTTAAGTTTCCAATAAACGTCTCTTCAGCACAACAGAAAATTATTGCTAGTACAACGATGGGAACAATTACGAGGGTGATTTAAAGACCGAAGGATAATAACTACCTTACAAGCTGAAGAAATCCTAACAGAACAAACATTGGATACAGATTTGTGATTCGACATTCATTTTGAAGAGAAAGTTAGTATCAATGTACAGAAGTATATTTCGTTGAATTTGTGAATAACTTTACCATGTAAATGAAAATAAATTGAAATGTTAGCTCTTTATTTTCTCGGAATCTCCCTACCACTTGGCAACAAGTTATTTTCTCATGTGCCAAATGAAAAAGTGACCAAACTACTAAGCCATTGTAAACACAAAAGCTTGACAGTTAAAAACTGAACAATATCATGGGAGACTGGAAATAATTACCTCATCTATAGTAACGACAATCTAAATTGAAAGACCCACGTGACCTAATCATTTGATTATAAACTAAAAAGAAACAAAAATTTAAGGTAAACATGGCTAGTTTATTTTAAGGACTCCTATGCTATTAGTCGGGATTTTTCTATATGGCAATTGCTTTCCATTTGTGTAAACAAGCATATTTCCTTATCAAATATTTGAATAATAAAAAAATGTCGCACAAAAAAGGGTAAATTAATTGGTTAAATCAATCAATCGATTATATTTGCTCACCTTATCACTACATTGTTGCAAAACATCGGTCAATTTAGATACAACCATGTCAACGCATTTTAATGATGGAATTCGAAGTTTTTCAATCTGTTTTCGTACTGTAGCATCAAATGCCATATCAGGTGTAAACAATCCAGGCCTTAATTACATATATTGTCAAACAAACAATTAAGCACAAGTTACTGAATTGGCAACATAATAACAAGACTAATACTAATACCAATAACAGTGGTAATAGTAATAAGGATAATTGAATAACAAAAATAATTATAATTATCATAGTTTACCTGTTTCGAATGTCAATAAATTTAACCCATCTCTATACAACACATATATATGCATGTTGGATGAATGTTTACCATAATGTAGATAAACTAGTACACGACAATTCGCATTATATTCATATATATAGAAGTATGAAATCGATTTTTAATATGACCATAGATAAAATTCAAGTGATCGATTTCTACACAGTTCTCATCGCATTTATACTGTAATATTTATGAGTGTAAAAGATTAACCAAACCTGAGAGCTTATCTAATAAAGTTGTGTAATAAGTACAAACTGGTTTAGACGTTTTGCAAGTTTAAGATTATATATATTCTTATAACATTTTGCTTTCCGATTCGGATTATACCTGATGAAAAGGGAATATTGAGATTCGTACAACAAGAAAGAAGATAAACTGTTGACAGATGAAGGCTTTATTCATTTTGAAAATACGGCAATAACGTATTAGCCGAATGCAAATTTACACACAGATTCTACTGGCATTTGATGACTAGTCGATACATTTCATTCATGATTCAAAATAGTGGGAATATAAAATCGTATTTTACACTGAATTAATGTGAAAAAATGTAATATGAAAAAAACCACATTGAATTGACATCATCTTGCGTTTTATCTCGTCCAAATAAATTTCACTACAACTAATCCAGCTACCAGCGACCCTACTAGTAAATGGTCATGGATCAGTAAAACACACCGGTCGACTTGAATATAAAAGTATGCGTAGAAAATGAAGCTTACAATGGCAATTTATCACGAACAACAACAAAATAATCCCCATAGTTTCAAAACGATACTATGAATTGCTTTGTGATATAGGAGTATATGTTACCAGAGAGTTTACAGCGAACAGTGGAATATGGAGAACGAATTTGATGACGCTTCTGTATTTACTGGACAGACTGTACCAAACTTTTACAATCCAGATGAATACCCCTTGGGGATAAATGAGCTGGTGATATTGATGTTGTTCAAAACAACAATTAAAACTTCACAATTAAAATAGATTAGGTTCAGAGAATGTACTATTTTAATCACTACATTATTGAATACGAAATCATCAATAGATGGTCATCGGTAAAATCCTCTGCAAAGACCACTTAATTGATGCTTAAACTCATCTAAATAACTTCACGTACATTTACAAGTAATCAATAAAATAAGTAAAAGCTACACAGTGAAATTCAGTTTATAAATGAGCAAAAATCTTTTGAGTTTATTACCTATTCAATAAGTCTATAAGAAATTAAAAATAATTTTTTTTACCTGACACCATGAATATTTTGAATAGCAACAGCAATTTCTTTACGTAGAGTTTTTTCATCAAATTCAATCTTTGAATAAAAAGTGATACAATAATAACCATACAATTGTTAATAAACATATATGGAAAGACAAATTTCACACACAGATTAGTACTTATAAGAGGAAATGTTCATCTGTCGTCTATGAAGATTCCTATAGATTAGAGGTTTACTAGTTAATAAGGATAATTGATGGATTTAAACATGAACTCTAGTCACTGATTTTTCAATGTCCTATCAATGCCACAGAACTCTACATTTGAGCCAGAAAATGAGAAATACGGAAGGAGCCTTAGCTTTGACGTCAGTTTACGTACAAAACAAAAGTGTATTTTTAGGTTTATGGGTAATCTTGATATTCTGGAAAAGTGCAAAATTTAGTATAAAAAAATAGATAACTATCTAATCACAATATAGCACATAATCCATCGTCATTCCAAAAATCTCTGGAAGTGTCTATTGAACCCTAATTAGATTAAGTGTTTCCAGCCTTCTCTTAGCTTCCGAAAGTTTTTAGAGGAAGTTCCAAAGGCTCCCAACAATTATGTAAAATACTAAGTTGTTCACTGTTCAAAGAAACTTATCGATTCGTACAATAAGAGAGGATGATTTACACCTTGACTGAAAAAATCTCGATGCATGAATTATTTTACGTAGATTTATTTAATCGATGATTCTGGTGATATTGTAGACAGTTGTCTCGGCACACTAGATGCTTTTCTTAAATTTTAATGAAATTTTCCATACGACATACAGTAACTTATCTAGTTGACACTATATTACAGCTATTGATTATAGTTGTTTTTTCTACCAATTTTTGATAAATCGTCATGAATCAAATAGGAATTTCGTGCCGGAGTATTACGGAAAGATAGAAGTTTATGTTTAACCTCCATATATAGACTGTATCACTATTTGTCATCATCGGACCACAAGGAAATTGATAAATGTAGAATACACTAAATACTTAGTTCAAATATACTATTTAGAATTTAACTGGTGAAGAAGAACCTCTTAATAAAGTTATAACAAATGAATTGAAGGTTCAGAATCTTGGATTTGAGTACCACAGTGAGAAGAAAAGTGAATATATTAAGAAGTTTTAAAATAAAACTAGATAGCTTATGGAAAAAGTATCAATCGATGCTAGATCATATACTTGAAAATAAGAATTTACATCTGAATATTAAACTAATTAGCCTCACTTCATTTCACTACATTCAGATGAGATGAAGATTATGAACACTTATATGTGTGAAAAATTAAGTTTAAATTATGAAATAAAATTTTTTTTCGCAGAAACAAAGTGAACCAATTCAGAATTAATGGGTCACATTCACCACAAATTGATCTCAGTTGAGGTATCGCTGGAAACTAGAGAGGAATGAACAAATATTTCATCCTATTATGGGACTCATTAACAGTGCGTAACCCACGACCACCTTAAGGATCGAACCCAGGACTTCTAGGTCTTGCAGAGAATACTTAACCATTAGAACCACTGAGTCAGTGTCCGAGTGCACAATACCACCTTCAATCAACTGGAAATAAAGCGCTACGATTACTTAATGACACCGGTGAAAATATTTTACGAATCTATGTTAATCTAAGTCCCCATACCACTTCAGTACAACGACAAGGAATCAACAAGATGGAAGAGTGAAAAAGTATATATAAAGTATCGGGACTAAAGATCCAGAGTAAGATAAAGAGTGAATGCATCCAGACCACTTGAAATGAATCTATATTACCTAAACCTACATTTTTAGCCACTGATTGCGAAAATCACACAGATTATTCGTGATGGCTAACAAGTGAATCTCAGGAGTAATAGACAAATCGTACCTGTGCATCTCATAAGAAATACTTGTGGTACAAATCAATTAACTAGATTAGCAAATTCACTCATCTGATTCAGTGGACCCCCAAAAACTATTCATGCCTGAATTCAAAATTACTTGATATTCATAAAAATGGATATTTTAATTTTTTATTAAGATATATTTTGTAAACTAATTTGACGTTAATTTCCTTCTAGGAAAGTCACAGTAAACCACGTTTTCTACTGAATGATACTTAAAAATGGGAAATCATCAGATAATTATTTAAAATTACTTAACCCAGTAGCTAAACTTCTTTTCTTGATCAATAGACATTAAGTGATAAATTCGGCTTGAAACTAATCACTAACATATGAATGATTTATATGCACACACCAATTTACAAAATGAGTGGAACATGTGCATAATGCACTTCAATCTATTGTATGGTATTTGAAATACATTAAATTCATCATACAATTTATCTTACCTTGAGTAAATCATATCTAAAACGTTCATGAAACACGCGATTAATCTCAGCACCTCCAGACAATATTTGTGTATTGACATCAGCTGCATGTCCACTAATATTTTGGGAAAATTCCGCTTCAAATGACTGAACCATCCTGATAAGATAAAGCAATGAAAAGTATGGAGCAGAGCTAGTGAATATTTTAAACACCTGAATCTTAAATATTGCAGGATTTTTATTTTTCCTTTTAACTGCAACAATTCGGAGTTAAGTCTATTATGTGGTTTGAACTTAATTATGCCGACCTCCACTTAGTAATTGAAGTTGCAATACCATTTGAAAGTTTTCGGTAACTCATTTACCAGATACACATTTATGTACTTGATTTTGAGTTGTACTTCAGGTGTCAGGATCGGTGATACAATCCTAATAGAAACATGAGAGTTTGAACTTGTGAATTAATATCTGGAATTTGAACTTCATAAGCACTAACCCAACACTTCACCACTTCGAAATCACGCTCTGAATATTCATTACGATGGTATCTCACAAAAACAAGAGAATTTGATGGGTCTGACCATTCCACCAACATTTTTTCTGAATGTTTTCACAATGATTAGTTAGGCCTTAGATGTATAGTAGAGAAGACTAAGAATGTAAAACCGGCTTTTAAGCAAGAAAAAATTAGTCGGTTACTAACTAAAGCTGGGGTTAAAGGATGCATTCAGATAGTGGACTCATTTTTATTAGTACTGTTAATGATAACATTGAATAGGAATCAGGTCCCAGATTATTTTTGAGTTTCAAGTTGGGGACATCAAATAAGGAAAATATATCACTACAGAAAACAATCAACTCTCGTCAAGTATTGATTCGGTAATTTTTTTGTAAGTGCCCATCGATAGTCTAGCTCGAACGATGTTACGTAAGTGAGAAATAAACAAGAAAAGATTCCCGTCATATTAAAAGACTAGTAGTTGAACGAAGAATATTCTTTTCGATAAATTCTCTTCAGGTTCTACAATTATATATCCAAATTAATAATCCGAAAAAATGTCCAGGTTAAGGGCAAAGTACATCGTTTAGAGCATGTGAATTTAGGATTGTGATAAACAAAATACAATAAAATTGTTAATGTTGATATGACTTATATAGAATGTTAACTTGAATCAGCTTATATGTTAACTAAAATTTTAAGATCCATGATCAAAATAAATATGGGTCTCACCCTATTTGACCCATATTTATTTTGATCATGGATCTTAAAATTTTAGTTAACATATAAGCTGATTCAAGTTAACATTCTATATAAGTCATATCAACATTAACAATTTTATTGTATTTTGTTTATCACAATCCTAAATTCACATGCTCTAAACGATGTACTTTGCCCTTAACCTGGACATTTTTTCGGATTATTAATTTGGATATATAATTGTAGAACCTGAAGAGAATTTATCGAAAAGAATATTCTTCGTTCAACTACTAGTCTTTTAAACAAGAAAAGGCTTGGAAACGAGGGGAAACTTGTGGAAGCTGTCTACACTCAGTAAACAGTATTGGTAAAAAAAATTACAGTGAACTTACTAGGAAGAACAAAAATGCATAATCCGGTAATTTATTAACATCTACTAGTTAAAGAATTTAGTCTATTGACCCTGTAAATTATATACTTATATCAAATTACTGAGTAATTATTGCTAACTAATCCCAGTTCAATGCAATCAAATTTTACCTAATGACCGGGAATTTAAAATGATGTATGACAGTACATTTTGATCACTATGATTCAGTGGTTGGTACATAAATAAATCTTTATTTAGGGTTTGGATTTTTTTGTTTTGAGATAAATCATTCTTGTTCTGTTGAGCAAGTAGCAAATAAGTTTATAACGCAGTCATAACAAATAGCCATACAAGCGACAATGTTAGCATTTTTAATTTCGTTACAGACAGACTTGGAGGTTTATATAAACTATCTCTTTCATTTTACTACCTAAAGTTTAATTTCTAGCGATTAAACTTAGTTATCAAATTGATTAGCTGAAGATGATGCGTGGTGCTTTTTTCAAATTGAAATCTAGCCTACACCACGTCATAAGATAGAATGAACAGGATAGTATTCAAGCTTCCGCTAGGAGGTTGAAGAAATTGTTTAGCCTGAATAAAAAACCACTGGACAAATGTAACTAGGACAATAATTTGATCAGCAGACAAACATTAAAAAATCTACATAATTATAAATTCCAATTATAAATCATTAACTTATTTCACATAAAGATAAGAAAAAGGAACTAATTACTGTAGCAATGCTTTTGTTTTATAAGCTGGGTCGTCTGGACGATAATTACGAAAGTCAGAAACTTCTTTTTCCAAACTAATTAATTGGGCTTGTAACCGACTACGTAGATGTGGCAGAGTATCGCGGATGTGATTCGTTAGTTGTTGATTAAGTATACGTTGGAGATAAGGAGTTCCCATACGATCAGCCATGTGACGATAACTGGGATGTGAAAGGAAAAATCTACGTTCGGCTTCCAAGGCAGCAGTGATATTTTTGCGCCCATCTATATCTCGCTGACTTCTGTTGACTACACCTATATAACCTACACAAGTAAAAAATAGGTATGAAAAGTTAAAGAAGAGAATTACAACATAACAACGTGAAAGAACTCCTGATAACATGAGAGTAAAATGTAAAAGCAAACAAGCAAACAAAATAATCACTAGACCTGAAATGATAATAATAAATATTATAAAGACATAGGATTTCTACGTAGTACTAAATGTGAACAGTAATTTGTGAAAACTGTTTCAAAATAACTAGCTAAGACCAAGAATAATAGATATGTATTCAGTATTTTGTGATTAGGCCTGAATCTTAAAAATGTGAAAGACAATCTACAACTAAATTAAGGTAAAATTATGGGCGATCGCTTTGGAATAGGACTATGATGATTGATGTACCAGTTCCAGTTCCACGACTTCTAACTAGTTTTGAAAAGTAATCAAAAAAAATAAATGGCATTACGCGTTGCCAGAAAACAACATACAAAGAATGGAATAAGCAGACATGGGATACATCTATGTGTTTCCAGCGCTTCATTCTAATTTCTTCCTCAACTGGGATCTGGTTTGGTCTCTCCCACAGTAGGTTGTTGCTAATAGTGTCCGGCCAACGGATCCAAAGTATTTTGCGTAGACAAATGTTAATAAACACCTGTATCTTCTGGATGATGGCTTTCGTAGTTCTCCAGGTTTCCGCCCCATACAGTAGAACTGTCTTGACATTTGTATTGAAAATCTTGACCTTGGTGTTGGTTGACAGTTGCTTTGAGTTTCAGATGTTTCGCAATTGTAAATATGCTGCTCTTACTTTTCCGATCCGAGCCTTCATATCTGCATCAGATCCACTCTGTTCATCAATGATGCTGCCCAGATATGTAAAGGTTTTTACATATTCCAAATCTTCTCCGTCAATTTTGATTGGACCGGTGCATGCTGTGTTGTGTCGGAGAACCTTGCTCTTCCTTTTGTGTATATTGAGACCTACTACTGCTGAGGCTGCTGCTACACTGATCGTCTTCTCCTGAATTTGTTGTTGCGTTTGGGATAGAAGGGCCAGATCATCTGAGAAGTCCAGATCGTCCAACTGCATCCTAGATGTCCATTGTATCCCGTGCTTCCCTTCAGATGTTGACGTCTTTATGATCCAGTCGATCACCAGGAGAAAGAGAAAGGGTGAGAGTAAGCAACCTTGCCTGACACCGGTCTTTAACTCGAACGACTTTGTCAACTGTCCTCCATGCACGATTTTGCAGTTTAATCCATCATATGAATTCTGTATGATATTGACTATCTTCTGAGGCACGCCGTAGTATCGAAGAAGCTTCCATAGTGTTGTTCTGTCCACGCTATCAAATGCTTTTTCGTAGTCGATGAAGTTGATGTAGAGTGATGAATTCCATTCAATTGATTGTTCCACAATGATCCGTAGAGTTGCGATTCGGTCTGTACACGATCTATCCTTACGGAATCCTGCCTGTTGATCTCGAAGTTGGGCGTCTACGCAGTCCTTCATCCTGCTCAACAATATCCGGTTGAAGACTTTTCCCGGTATTGAGAGAAGAGTGATGCCCCTGTAGTTATCACACTTGCTGAGATCACCTTTCTTCGGTATTTTGATCAGGAGTCCTTCTTTCCAGTCTGTTGGTACTTGTTCCTCATCCCAAATCTTATTGAAGAGAATGTGGAGTATCCTTGCAATTACCTCTACATCTGCTTTTAGTGCCTTTGCTGGAATTTTTTCTGGTCCTGCTGCTTTGCCACTCTTGATTTGCCTGATGGCCGTGCTTATCTCTTCAACTGTTGGTGGGCCAACATCGATTGGGAGGTCCGTGGGTGCTGCTTCGATGTTGGGTGTGTTCAGTGGGGCTGGTCGATTCAAGAGTTCTTTGAAGTGTTCTACCCACCTGTTTCGTTGCTCTGCAATGTTGGTGATTACCTCGCCTTCCTTGCTTTTCAATGGTCGCTCTGGTTTGCGGCGATTTCCAGAGAGCTTCTTTGTTATGTCATACAGTTGTCCCATGTTTCCTTCTCTTGCAGCCATTTCCGCCGTCTGTGCTAAATCTTCCGCATATTTACGTTTGTCGGTTCTGATGCTCCTCTTCACTTATTTGTTTACTTCTGTGTATTTAGCTTATGCCTTGGCTTTTTCTGCTCTTGTTCGGCTGGTATTGATTTCTGCCTTCTTCTTCCTCCTTTCTTGAATCTTATCCAGTGTATCAACAGTGATCCATTCCTTGTGATGGTGCTTCTTGTGGCCCAGGACCTCATGACATGTTGAAGTAATTGCCTCTTTGATCCTCTTCCAGTTGCTCTCCATAGTAGTTCCTTCGCCATGAAAGGCCTGGAACTTAGTGCTGAGGACTATCTTGAATTTGTTGAGTTTGTCAGTATCCTGAAGAAAGGCCGTATTGAACTTTTGTGTTGTCCGCCCCGTTGTGCAGTGCTTCTTGAGTTTCAGTTTGATCATGGCGATCAGCAAGTGATGGTCTGATGCTATATCAGCTCCTCTCTTGGTTCTCACATCTTCCATCATCCTCCTGAACTTTTTGTTGATGCAGATATGGTCGATTTGGTTTTGTGTAGTGTGATCCGGTGAAGTTCATGTGGTTTTGTGTATGCGTTTATATGGGAATATGGTGCCGCCTATGACCAGTTTATTGAAGGCACATAGGTTTGCAAATCTTTCACCATTTTCGTTCCTTTCTTCCAGTCCGTGTCGTCCCATGATGTCTTCATATCCAGTGTTATTCGTTCCAACCTTGGCATTGAAATCTCCCATCAGAATGGTCAGATCCTTTGTTGGGCATTTCTCTATGATTGACTGCAGCCTATTGTAGAATTAACCTTCATTGTAGTCGTTGGTAGGCGCAATGCTATGCGCCTTGGGATTCTCATTAGACCTAGTGGATTGGTATCCGACGAAATTTCGGCACAGATCTAGGAACCCCAGACGAATTTTGTCGACTTGCGTCACTTTCGGAGTAGGCGAGAGGTACGTTTTCCAACGAAAAGGTGCGTATACTGCGCAGCAGTCTTTTGTGCTTTACACTATGGTTGTGAAAAATGGTCTATGAAAGTGGAAGACAAGTTTGGACTTTAAGTTTTTGGCCATAATCGTCTTTAAAGAATTTCTTGAGTTTTGTGAAGTGTTAGGCAGAGTAATATACGAAGTTAGAGAGCAGCTTGGTGAGGTAGTGAATCGTCGTCGACTGAAGTGGTTAGGGTGTTTAATACATATCCCTGACCACAACTCAACTCGACAAGCGATGCGTATTAGTGGAGAAGGCTGAAAGATAGAGATCAAACCAAAACGTGGCAATAATGCATGAATTCACTGACAAATGTAGACCACCTGACCAAGGTCTGGGTGATAACTATAATCAGTAGTTGGACATTGAGTGACACGGCTCAGAATATATCACACAAGCTTATCCACTTAAACTGAAGGCTTGAATTGCCATAACTGTAAAAGGATTTAAGTAATGTAGAGAACACAAAGTTTGATACACTAGCTAATTTATGCATTTTCTGAAGACTAACTGAGATGAATGAAGGTCTTGGAATGTTGTAATGAGACAATATAATTTCTGATGAATTATGACTTACTAGAAAATACCATGTTGATATCAGCAGTAAAAATCTCCTGTTCTACTAACTAATCATTATTAGATATCAGTCTTACTTCTATAGTCAGAATTTAGGGAGTAAGATTACGTCCTCAAAAGCCAAAACATTTGACTTCGCCTCAAAAGTATATTTTACCTAAAGGCATAATATTAAGTTTGGATCGTAATAAATGGCCTTGTCAACTAGAACTCTAAATCCAAAGACCGGAAAAACGTATATAACCTAGAGTTTGAACTCTGATACTTTAAGGCAACAAATATACTAAAATAAACACCAAACAATAGGATTACCTCTTCGTAATGGGAGCAATCTATTTTCGAGAATTTCCTGTGCATCTGTTCCTTCATCCATCAAATCTAACTTTGTTATTACCCCGATAGTACGCAGACCCTGTGGGTCATATTCCTTAGCAAGTTTTAAGGCATCGGAATTAGCGAGGTCTGAATTAGCAGGGCTAACAGCCAAAATAAGACAGGAATCTCTCTCGATAAATTCAATGATCATGTTGCGGATTTGAGTTTCGATATCTGGTGGCTGATCGCCAACAGGAACCTTGGTCATTCCAGGAAGGTCAATAAGGGTAAGATTGAGGACTACAAAGAATGTAGGAATAAGATCAAAATGATTACAACACACCGCTGGGGGAATGGATCCTGAGGTTGATTGGAATGTTAGAAATACCCTTGTTAGAGCCAGTGATTCTGTCCGTTTCCTGTTCGATTTCCCGTCGGATGTCATCAAAATCCGTGAACTTTTTATTTTTACAGTGAATAAATTCGCCATATTCAACTGTTTAAAATCAGTGAAATAGGTTAAATAAAACTCCTACCTGACTTATCATGGACCAGCTGCAGAATAAGCGGTCTCCTTGTGACTATACCACTGCCTCTCGGTAGGAAATCACTTTAAAGGAAGTGTAATTTTATTTAAAGCCTACCGCCCCACGAAGTTTTCCAGCACTGAGCTTTTACCAGCACTTTGGCTTCCCACAACTGCAATCTGGGGTAAATCAAGGTTCAGAGGAAGATTAAGAGATGCGAAAGCATCCTGAAGCTTATTAACAAGAGGTATAAGCCTTTCCATCCCTTCATTCCCATACATTTTGCAATAACTATGATTACAGAAGATTCGTACAACCCACCGATGAATAGCCTTGAAAGGTCTCTAGGTCAAGCTGATTATCACAACTTCAAACAATCAGATTCAGCATTGTGTAGTAGGAACAGAAGGCCTACGGCCTATGTTATTCCTTTTCTAGTATGCTTCCGTGAGTAGATGTTCCAACATCCTATGTAGTTAATGAACATGAATTTGTATTATCACCATTTATATCTACTCATATTCCATAGTGTCACGTTTACCGCTAGGTGAAATGCTCCACGAAACTCCCTCATGTGTTCTGTTTTAATCTATCCCCTGATACGATCACCTAACTGATACTGAGCTACAAATAATAAATTTTTTGGGTCTGATGCATCAGTACGTTATGGAGCGTTCAACAACCTATTGTAAGGAAAACTAATAAAGATGCCATAGGTATTTGAAGTTTGACTACAAGTTACGCAGTAACACCTATAATCAAAGCGTGTCTACACAGTGAAGTCATAGGTCAGAAGCGAAGAGTTCCAAAGATGTATTTGACAGTCTACCGACATATCGAGAAGTGACTGGTCTAAGCTAGCTAGCGGTCGTAGGTGAAGTTGATCACAGAGTACCCACTCGTGATCTCTTGCGGATGCGTGACCAAGCGCCTTCAGCTGGGTGGGTGCATTAAAGCCAACAAAATCAGCATCAAGTGTCGAAGACTCACAGAGGTATTGACTCTGAGGATTTATTTGCTACTACGTTAATATGACCTAATCGTTCGATTGGGTTGGTGAAAGTTAGAATTGCTTGGGTGTTGCTCAATGACTGATGAACTAAACCGTAATGTGTCCTCGGAAAATCTAACTGGATAGAATAACTAGTCAATATTCTTTAATGAAATATACGAAAGTAGTCATAGGTTTCTGTATAGCTTTATGACAGTGTACGTCGAAGTTCTTATGCCAGGATCCGCAAATTGTACACATCCTTCGTTTTGAGGCTGACTATGAAATTTCATTTGCATCGCTCATAGTTTGTTCCATCACTCCATACTTTCACGAAATAAACACTGCCTATTTTTAGTGTCTCCAAATCAGTGAGATCATGGGGAACTGACCGTGGTATTTAAAATAAAGTTTATTTTTCCACGTTATAACATGCTATATTCCTTTTGAGTTTATCGAAATAAAGATTAGATTTCAACCAATATGTAACGCTTTACCACTGTTTGTGTCTTTGAAATACTCTTTCCTGCATGTTTTACTTTAGATTTCACCAGTCGAAGTTTTTACATTACAATATATCTATGTATTCATAAACACAGTTTTCCGTTTATTACATAAGCTCAGTATATCAATGTTTTATAGCTGTACTAGTAACATGCTCATTTCTGAATTTTTGTAAAATTTCACGTTTTACCCTCATCACACTTGTTAATGTAGCCCTTAAGTCATAGATGTAGTCCCCTACTTGTCTAAGATTATATGTAGTGTGACATCTATATGAAATAATCCCGAAAACCTTGTTGATTTTCGCCAGACACACATAAACACTGTCTTCAACAATACTCAAACTTCTGACTAAACAATGTAGTTTCCCTAGATGAAGCCCTGGAGCTTCTCACTCTAATAAAGGTGTAGACGAGTGATGATGGCCGCGTCATTGATGTTGGCAAAAAGTGAGAAAGTCAGTTAGTCAGTAACAACGTAGAAATTTGTACTTACGTACATCAGTTCGAGTTGCCACACCGTATTAGCACAGAGATACAGTTTTCAATTCAAATACCGTAGTGGTAGATGTGGTAAGAGTTTAAGCAGTAATCATAAAGATTAAGGTTTGAAGACGTTATTTAAAGAGTATAATCCAGTGAGATAAATTTGGGAAGAGAAAAAAGAAACAAAGAGGATTCAAGAGACTAGAATTGGGGAGAACACAAAGAGTGTGTAGAATTATGGTCTACTATGATATTAGTACTGCGCTAATAATAGACCTAATCCTAAAATTGTAGATTTGTCATGATATAACTGCCTAATCTATAAGATCTTACGTGGAAGTCACACCATCGACTACACCAACTCACTGTATCGCATCAATTACCAATACATGATAAATATGAATAGAAGATATAAGGTAACATTCAGATGGACCACGCCTGCATGGCCGAGCCATGCCATCCGATCAACTCCAGTCTATTCAGTTCATTATTCACGCCTTCTCCATCGTTAGGTATTTCTTCGCGTTAAATATTGAATATCTATTTTCCGAGTAATCTCGTATTCGGCTTTGAGGATTGTGTGGTTATGGTCCAATGCCACTACAAGTGTATGCACCTGCGCCATTGCAAACGATTTTGAGCCATGCCATTCAGGGTCTCTAACCATCAGTTTCTATCGTCTCGTGGTCCACAACCAGGTAGTCTACACCTACCGACATGACTCAGTCCACTTGTCAGTGACTTCATGGACTTGTGCAATGTTTTGGTCTGGCCGCCACTAGCTTTCTTCCAACCTACTCCCATACCACTGAGCATGGCACGTCCTTTCGTCCTTTCTTATAGATTGGCACAATCAGTGATTGAGACCAGTCAGATGGTATTATGTTCAGTTCCCAAATTCTACCTAAAGCCTCAGTTAATCTCACCGCTTATACTGGACTACCATCCTTAAAAATCTCAGTAATAAACCTGTCAGGGCCTGCTGCTCTCCCTCGCTTCAGATTTCCTATAGCTTCTACAACTTAGTAAAGAGTCGGAGGACCTACATTAAATTGCCACTCAGGTTGACTGGAGATCGTGGGAAACCGAAGTGTGGTTGAAGGTCACTTGAACTGATCCCTAAGGTGTTCTGCCCATCGATCCAATCTCCTGAACTGAGAATGTATAATATGTCCATCTATCTCTGAGATTATTTCGCTAACAGTCGGTTTCCTAATACCGGTTTCCTTAACAAGTCTGAACAATTGTCTGCTATTACCTATTGCCGCTGCCGTTTCCATCTCTCTTGCTTTCGCTATCCACCACTGTTCACGATCATTGCGTAGACTTCTTGTCAGCTTGCGCCTAAGCTGACTCCGCTCTTCATTATGTTCAGAGCCAGGTGGAATGAGTTTCCGAGCATCTATCAGTGCGATAGATGCTGCTGAGATCCAGTGTTGCTCCCTAACCTTGTGGTTTACCTTACTAGCATATATCACTGCTGTTTCCACAGCTTTTCGGATATCATTCCATGCTGCCTCGGGGTGGGCATCACATACATGGCTGCCTAACTGTTTTCCTAGTTGTTCCTGAAATATACTCTTAGCTTGACTATCATTAAGTAGGACCCTAAGAGGTTTACTTGCAGCGTCTTTCCTACGTCAAGTAAGACGCAGATAGATACGCGCTCGTACTAGAGAATGATCTGAATCTAAGCATGTGCTCCAGAATGAGAGACAGTCTTCTATCGAGCCCCTCCATCGGTGGCTGATAGCGATGTGATCTATTTGGGTCCAACGTTGGGACGAATTAGGGGGTCTCCATGTTAAAAGATGTTTTTCCTTATGCTTAAAGTTAGTATTTGCAAGAAACAGGCGGTTATCTGAGCATAGATGCAACAGACGGTCGACATTTTCTGTTCTTTGAGCCACGGTACTACAAGATCCACCCAAGTGTCTTCCCCTATCGCTTAGTTTACCTACTTGAGCATTAAAGTCACTGGCCACTATTACTACATCAGAGCTCCTAGCTTTTAGGAGGTCGGAGAGCTTTCTGTAAAACTCATCTTTTACATCATCTGCGCTGCAGTCAGCGGGAGAATAGGCAGAGACGACGAAGAGGCAACGACGAGTGTCCCTATCTTCCCGAGTCATTGCTGTTCCGTTCAGTCGGACAGCGCACAAACGACTGTCTACTGGGATCCACTATAAAAGAGCTAGTTTTGCCCCTAGGACTCAATGCTTTACCTACACCGGCGAGGCCACAGGAGGCAGAATCAGGGCTTCCAGATACAAGAAGTGTGAATCGAGTCGGTTCTTTATTTTGGCATGGTGAGGTCAGATGAATGACGCTACTCGGATCCTGCATGCGCGTTTCGGAGACGCAGCACACATCGATGGCGCGGGATTCTAAAGTCCTAGCTAAGGAAGCCTGTTGTCCTATTTGGCACAGTGTTCGGACGTTAAAAGCTCCAACGTGTAGTTTAGACCGTGGTTTAAGAGACCAGGAATTACGTTCCGTGTACTCGAATCGTTTGCCTTAGCAGTGAGAGTTGATAGAGGTACATGAGAAGGGTTAGGTGAGGAGATAAGAGAGGCATTAGGAGGTGTAGGAGGTATTTGAGTAAGACCAACTTGATCTCGTGTGCTGTAACGGGTATGAGAGCTGGTGCCGCTTCCTGGCTACTTACACCGCGGAAGTCTATTTTTTGAGTAACCTGAAAAAGTAGTTTGATCAGTGTAGGTCTTAACGACCTGGGAGCGTGACCGCAGAGCTCAAGTGATGACTGCTTGAGGCCGGTCGCGCACGGCCTTTTTGTGGAAGATTTCTAATGTGTTAGCTTCGTTCTTTAAAGAGCCTTACTGCAGGAGACGGAAGTACGTGGGATAAGGTGAGGTGTGATATTTTTAGGGTCGATGTTTTCTAACCCCTTCCTTCCTTGTGAGGAGGCAGCATCGCTGCAGATGCTGGCTGCCCGAGGGAAACGCCTTACTGCTTTTACAGCCCTCCACAGTCAGCAGTACGACTTCGCACTCAGACCTTGAGTTTAGTTGCTGCTTTTAGTCTTGCCGTTCTCCAGTCGACCTGCCTGCCATGGAAAAACTTACAGGAACATATGTTCCAGCCAATATAGCTTGATTAGGTCATCACGATAGGCAGGCCCGACCACCGCGTCTAGGTAGCAGCTACGGTCGGGAAGTGAAAAGGAAACGAAAACTGTTATCTGTCGTCCCGTCAATTCACTTCTTATTCCTAGTCGGAAGTTCGACGAACGTATCGTCAACACACTCGAGGAGAAGAGAGTCCTGACCAGACTATTTTTACGCCTTATTGTAATACGTTTCGCTCTGTTATAACAGAAAAACTACCATCCACCTAAATTAC